AATTTGAGTTTCCGTATTTTTTAACCGCTGTGATATTGCGATTCATTCCAAGTTTATGGATTTATCTATAGAACGTTTTAACTCAAAGTTAAAATCTTGATAGATTAATCTTCAGTTGAATTTAGCTTAATCAAATAGATAATAAAAACTCAATTGTTTTAAATTTAAGGTCAAATTATGTGTTTAGTACCTAAACTATCAGTTTTTATCTGTTTTAGTATCTAAACTTTCAATTATTTCAAGCCCATACCTAAAATTTAGTTTTTGATTTATTTTAATACCCATGTTCAAATTTAACGTTAAGTTTTGAAAAAATTTAAAGTTTAGGTACTAAAATGGACCAAAATTGATGGTTTAGATACTAAACGCATTAAGTTTTTAACAGTGGGATACTAAAATGAAAAAAGAACAAAACATTAGGTATGGTTCTAAAAAAATGAAAATTTTGATACTAAAACGAATTAAAATTGATAGTTTAGGTACTAAATGTGTAATTTACTCTAATTTAAAATTAGGATAAACTACACATTTAGTACCTAAACTATTAGTTTTAGTTCGTTTTAATTCCAAAACTTTCAAATATTTTTAAAATCGTATCTAACGTTTAGTTTTTGTTTCATTTTAGTATTTTGTCGTTAAAAATTTATCGCGTTTAGCACCTAAAATATCATTTTTGGTTCATTTTAGTACCTAAACTTTTTAAAAAAATTCAAAATTTAACATCAAACTTTTGAACGGATACTAGAATAAAACAAAAACTAGACTTTATGTATGGTTTTAAAAAATTAAAAAAATTAGGTATTGAAAGTGACAAAAAATGATAGTTTATGTATTAAACGCGTAATTTATCCTAAATTTAACAACTTAAATTTGAAAATGATTTAAAAACGAATCAAATTTAGTGTAGTAACGAACATTTGATTCGAATTTTATGGTTTTGATCTGACGTGATTTTATAAGGTTACGATATTGAAAATTTGAATTCGAGTTCAAGTTGAAAGTAAAAATATATGATCTGACTTACTTAAAAATGAGAATATAATAAGCCTAAAGATTATACATTTAGATATCAATTTCTTCTACTTAAAAAAGTATCAATTTGTTAATTAAGCCCAACAATTAATTTAAAAACTCCGTTTGCAAACATGGTGTCTTCTCTATATATTAATGGCTTCAAAAATGTCCAAAATATGAAGACAGCAACAAAGAGCATAGAGATCAAATGGCATCTTCTTGTTCGCCGTTTCGCGTCCATTGCTCTGCTCAAAAGCCTTCGATATCGTCACCCAACTTGGATCACTTCAAGTCCACTCTTTCCTCTGCGTTTAAGGTCAGTCCTCTGCTGATCGAAACCCCAAAACTCTGTCATTTTTCTCATCGGTTTTGCTCCCTGGGCAGCCATTTTTTAAAGAAATTCAGCAACTTCCCTTGCGAATAGATGCGGGTGTGAAGAACGCTTCCCTCAAGCTTGTCGATGCGTTTGTCGATTCAGTGTTCGAGTTCATTGATCAGCCATTGCTCCCATCTCAGGTAATGTACATACGAGCGATTCGTGTTCGATTCAAGTCGTTTAAGATCGTTTCGAGTTCAAGTCGTTTCAAGTTTACGATCGATAATGTCGTGTGACAGAGTAATTTCGCGCCGGTCGATGAGTTAAAAGAAGGCGTTCACGTCAGCAACATCGAAGGGGAAATACCAGATGATTTTGCAGAGGGTGTCTACATAAGAAACGGTTTGTCATTCATATAGTCATTCATATAAATCACTTTATAATCATTCCAATATTTGTCAGAATATGATGTTTTTTAAGAAATCATATTCATCCGTTTATTGCAATAATTGTAGGACCAAACCCCATGTTTGGAGCATTAACATCAACAAGATCCGTGTTTGGGAGCTCAAGTTACACTTGGATAGAAGGAGAAGGAATGCTTCATGCTTTGTATTTCTGCAAAGGTCTTGACAGGAGCTGGACTGTTGTTTATAAGAACAGATTCGTCGAAACCGACTCATTCGAGCTCGAAAAACAACGGAATAAACCGTCATTCCTACCGGCCATAGAAGGGGATTCACCGGCTGTGTTGTCTGCTTATTTGTTTAACATGGTGAGCTTTCCTTATCATTCTTCTTCTCAAAGCATCAATTGGCCTAACATGTTTAGTATTTCACTTAAAAAACTTTATCCAAATTCAGCTGAGATTTGGTAAAGTAAACAAAGATATGAGCAATACCAACGTATTTGAGCATGCCGGGAAGATGTACTCAATTGCTGAAAATCACGTACCTCAAGAGATCAACATCCTTACACTACAAACTTTGAATGATTGGGATGTTAATGGAGCTTGGAACAGGCCATTTTGCTCTCATCCAAAGGTTCTTTCTCTTTCCCTACACAGATTATATATATATAACTATTGATCTTTAGATCGAACGATAAAGAGTTCAATACCTTTCATTCAGAGATTTGATCCGACTCGACTTTGAACAGTGAACACCATAGGTTTTAGACGAATATATATATGATGTTTGCCACGTTAATTTGTTATGCAACAGAAAGCTCCAGGCAGTGGGGAGCTAGTCATTATGGGGATTGATGCAACCAAGCCTTATGCTGAAATGGGAGTAATTTCAGGTATTTTCATTTTTTTCATATTTTGCATTTAACCGAGCTTGGCAAGTTACCACCTTCTAAAGTGTGTTCATTTTACTATAGAAGATGGAAAGAAATTGCTCCACAAAGCTGATCTAAAATTAGATAAGTGTATCCTATGCCATGAAATCGGAGTTACGCATAGGTAAATTAAATATATACTATCTTATAATACCTTAGTTTTGTGTAATGATACAAATATTTGTACGGGATAATTATTTGGCGCATTAAAATCTGACGTGAATTTTCCTTTTGCAAGGTACAATGTATTTATGGACCACCCTTTATCGTTGGACTTGAAGAGACTTGTTGATGGTGGCCCGTGAGTTCAATTCTTTATAGGAAAAGTTTCCTTTTCTTTAAGCTTAATTCTTCTAAAATGATTACCAAATGTTGAAATGTAGATTAATAAAATACATAAAAGAAGGAGATGCAAGGATCGGCATAATGCCTCGTTACGGTGATGCAGATTCAATTCAGTGGTTTAAGGTTAAACCCAATTGCACATTTCATCTCTTCAATTGCTTCGAAGATGGCGATGAGGTAAAACCTATAGCCGCAGGAATCACAGTAAAATTTCAACTTTTTTAATGCACTGATACTGGGGATAATAGAAAACGAATTTTCCCTGTTTAAGAGGACATGCATGCAGCAGCTTCTTCCCCGCATGCATGGCTAAATGTTTTAACATGGAACAGGTTGTGATATGGGGATGCAGAGCTCTTGAGTCAGTAATACCAGGGCCTGAGAAGGGGAAGAACAAATTTGATTGGTTCTCGAGAAATTTCAGGCCTTTGAACTCCACCGGGGGAAGCATTAATGATGCTGTATCAGAAGACCAACTGGTGTTTCCTCGTCCTTATGAATGGCGATTGAACATGAAAACTGGTGGTGTAGAGGAGACGAATCTAACAGGGACTGATTTTGCACTTGATTTTCCCTTTATTAATGAAGCTTTCATTGGACTTCGAAACAATTACGGGTATTCCCAAGTACGTGACTCCATTGCAAGTTCTGCATCAGGTAACTCGGCCATAAAATAGTTCCACAAACTTATGCTTTCACTTTGGTCAAATTATGACTACAGTCCCTCTATTCCAGGCATGGCTAAATATGGGGGCCTTGCAAAGCTGTATTTTGGAGAGCAGAACCCTGAATCTTACTTGGTATTTCAATTAGGTCCCTCAAATTCTCTTTTCTGCTTCTTTTCATCGTCCATCTGTCGGGTAGCTAAAATCATCCATCTTTCATGTTGAGACTAGGGAGAAAATCAGGGGTTGATACAGGTGGAACATCATATGTTTGAGAGGAACACATTCTGCAGTGGAGCTGCATTTGTCCCTAAAGACAAAGGTGTTGAAGAAGATGATGGTTGGGTTATCACATTTGTTCACAATGAAGATACCAATACATCTCAAGTAATTGTTGATTTTAAGCTGCTGAACAATATATCCATTTTAATTTTGGACATAAATGTTATTTATTTTATTTTTTCTAAATTGCAAACAGGTCCTTATCATTGAAGCAAAGAGATTTACCAGCAAGCCTGTAGCCAAAATCACCTTGCCATTTAGAGTTCCATATGGTTTCCATGGAGCTTTTAGGCCAATGCAACTCCAAAATGAAATCTCGACTATAATCCCCTCTTCGAATTTCAGATCGAATTATAAAATGTCAAATGATATAGATCAGTTGTAAATCATATCGTCTACGAGATTAGTAGAGAGTTGGTTTCGGAAATTTTGAGATATCATGTCCAAATTGTATCATGTATAAATTCGATATGTATAATAGATTTATCTAGATATATTCTAGTTTTATAATCTAACTATTTTATAATATATGAATGTAGTTATTAATTTTAATGCAAATTATTGATGGGTAAACTACGCATTTAGTATCTAAACTATTTGTTTTGATCCGTTTTAGTACTTCAACTTTTAATTTTTTTAAAATCATATCTGACGTTTAATTTTTATTTCATTTTAGTACCCGTCATTAAAAACTTAATGTATTTAATACTTAAACTATCAATTTTAATCCATTTTAATACATGAACTTTCAACACTTAATATTAAATTTTGAACGATTATTAAAAAAAATACAAACTAAAGTGTTTAAGGGTGAGTGCCATTCTTTCATGCACAAAGCCCTTAAAGCTCAAAGCCCATTATTGAAAAACTGTCACGTGGGGACAAACAAATAAAGAACCCGACACACAAAACAAGAGAACTAGAGATGGAGTTTATTACAAAACACAAGGCCCTCGTTCGTTCATGTCTTCTCAAGGGACTTTGGGGTCGGTCCATGAACTGAAACCGGATAAGATAAAAATACAAAAGAAGAAAACATGCTGAATTCATCAGCTTCCACCATGGTTTTCTCAATGAAGACACCTTCTTCTTCCCCATCGAACTCCCTCAAACATTGCTGCATTCATAACTCTTACAACCACCATCCTTCTCGGAGGTTGCTCTATTTCATCTCGGCACAGGTAAAAGCTCTAAAACCCTTGTCCCAAATCATGCTTTTGCTTATGTTTTGTAATAGAATTTTCTATCCTGTTGGAAAAGAAGCTTAAGTTATGTTGGTATTGTTTACAATGTGGTAGTTTTGTAGTTGTTTAAGTTCTTAATACAGTTCCTTGTGCTCGAGAATTGATCATTTAAGTTGTTCTGTACATGTTTTCTTGATGAAACACAGTGCTGCAGATTTGTTGTTTGGGCTAATGCATCAATGGATTATTTCACTAATGCTCACAATGGAGCTTCGGTGCTTGTTTTTCAGCTATCCCTCAGTCACAAGTGCTTGGTGCAAATGCGGCTAAATTATTCGGAGCAGGACGAAACTCGATCGAGGATAGTAAATCTGAAAACGTAGCTACTGCTTTTAACGAGCAAGATGCATTAAATTGGGTTAAAAATGACAATAGAAGAATGCTTCATGTCATTTACCGTGTCGGCGATTTAGAGAAGACGATAAAGTACGATTTCTCGTCGACCAGACATACTCAGTGATTCAGGATCATATTCAGATGCTAATCCTTTTTATCAAGCTGCAGGTTTTACACTGAATGCTTAGGAATGAAGGTGTTAAGGAAGCGTGACATACCCGAGGAGCAATATTCGAATGCTTTTCTTGGATATGGACCTGAAGATTCTCATTTTGCTGTTGAACTTACTTATAGTAAGTGATTCTTCTTTGTATACGTCTATATGATTATGCATCTATCACACCTTTGAAGTACTGATTAGTAATTCATACTTTCGCATACGAAATAGGTTCGATCTATGCTCTAATATGGAGTCGACAAATATGATATTGGAAACGGATTTGGTCATTTTGGTGTTGCTGTAGATGATGTAAGTTCTTTCTTCAACTAGATCTTCTTTTGGCTACCATTAGTAAAAACTCGAAAAGAATGAAATTTAGCTGCTGTTTGATGGACAATTCATGCAGCATTTATGTCGGCTTTGTGTCATCCATATCGGTTCAGCTCATTGTTTTCGATAATCGATTCGTTTATGCAAATAACCGCTGTTTGTAGGCTTCAAAAGCAGTGGATCTAGTAAAGACAAAGGGGGGGTGGAAAGGTTACAAGGGAACCTGGCCCTGTTAAAGGAGGGAATACGATAATCGCTTATATCGTGGATCCAGATGCTTAAAACATTGTCATATTTAAGATTATATAAACTCTTTAATTTATGTATCGATTGTATCACTAAACTTTAAATAGCCGTTAAACTTTCTGACCATTGTCTGTAATTAATTGTTATCTGTAAACGATAGTCTTTCGTGACAAATTTAATATCAAAATATTTATACTTTACTCTTCTTTCTTCTTTTGAGATTAGGTTTTTTTTTTCAAGAAACACATTCAAAATCAACAAAAATCAATTTAAAGTTATAGGTTCGACGTTCTAATACTCTGATAAACTCTGATAGTCTTTATTAAAGGTTCGATTAAAGTAATTTTGAGGTATGCCATTTGTCTTTTTTAAATAATACTTCTCATCATTTGAATTTTCAATTTAGTCAGTATTAAAAAGATTTTGAAAAGACCTAAACTAATAAATCAATAGAGGATAATGTGACGAGTTTATTGATGTCTAGGATGACTGTAAACGACATCGAAAAAAGATGATTCAGACAACGATTAAAAATAAATTAAAAATTTTAACTTTAATTAAAAAAAGATGACGATATAAATTAAAAATAACAATTTTTTAACTTCGACATTAAGACTGTGTCAATACCAAACTTTCATGTCATTTGACTATAAAACAAAGTCTAACGCTATAATCGTATCAATCTATAATTCAGTGGCATTTATGAAACAAATGTAAAACATTAGTGGTATCATGTGGAGTTTACCCTTGAAAATATGTGAAATTCAGGTACGAAATGTGATATTAAGCCTAAAATAAGCCGGTTATATGTAAGTAACCTGTAAAGCTAAAGCAGTGTAGCGGTCGCCATAGTCCTCGCAAACTCCTTCCTTTGACGACTTTCTCAGATCTGTTCCTCTTCCATCAACAATGGCGATTAGGTCTTTTTTTGTTCCTTTTTTGCTCTTCGGTCTATACTTCTACTCTTCTTTAAGTCCGGTCCTTTCCCTCTACGAAGATCAAGTCGGCCTCATGGACTGGTGAGTTCAACCTCATACTTCACTTGAATTCGATCCTAATTTACATCTACTTGTTTTCTTTCATATATACTTTTAGTTCTGATTTGTTTAATCTTACGTATCAACAACACTTCGCCTCATCGAATTCGTCTGAAATTTAGTCTGTTTAATATTAGGCATCAACAATACATAGGAAAAGTGAAGCAAGCAGTGTTCTCCACTCAAAAAACTGGTCGGAGACGAGTTATAGTGTCCACCGAAGAGAATGTTATAGCTTCACTTGATCTCCGCCACGGCGAGATTTGTAAGTCCAATCCTTTTCGATTACAAATTATTGAAGTTTATTTGTTTAGCTTATAATTTTTTTTCGTTACTGGTAAATTCTTCGTAGGATAATGGTTGGTTGGTTGGTTTATGTAGTTTGGAGACACTTGCTTGGCTCTGATGATGTTATCGATGGAATTGATATCGGTCTTGGAAAATGTAAGTATGTCCATATCCAATTTGGTTCAAATCTTATACGTTTTTAAATATGTATTGGTTTTTATTGTTATCTTACTTCTATGTATTGTTTGATTCCTGGTTCCAAGTTGTTTGATGAAAACTGTTGGTTTATCCTTCTGGATTTTGCAAGGAAAGGTGTGGCTGACTTCACTGCTTGTTTAGGTGGTTAAATTTTGAATAAATTTTATTCGTGCAGATGTTATTACCCTTTCATCAGGGGGAAGTATTTTAAGATCGTGGAACCTTCCTGATGGGCAGATGGTGTGGGAGTCTTATCTTCAAGGTCCTAAGCACTCAAAATCATTTTTATTAGTGCCGGTTAGTATCAGAATTTTCATTAGCCAGATTCTTTCCAATTAACATCTTTTTAATTCCTATTCTTCAACACAGTCTGTTTTCAGTGGATCATGGTCACCTGAAATTTTACCAAACCTTGCTATATTAGGTGCACTGTCGTAGAATTAAGATTAGTTTCTCCGAATTCTCATCTTAAAGATTCTTAATTGTCTATTTAGCACACCCAATAGAAGGAGGTTAGTTTATCTACAAAAGTGTGATTTGTTAAACATTTCTTCTTGTTTTAATTTTTTATCTCCCAATAGAAGTTCACGCCCTGCCATTTTACTAGCTTTTTTTAGTGTTATTGATATAAATTATATAATTCATTCCGTGATCCTAGAAACATATGTGATTGACTGTATTAATATTGTGCAGACGAACTTGAAAATTGAGAAGGATAGTGTAATTGTTGTTTTTAGCAATGGCCGTCTCCATGCCGTTTCTTGCATAGATGGTGAGGTTCTTTGGAAGAAGGATTTTGAAGCAGAAAGGTTAGTCCAATTTGAAAGTTTCACATTTCAACAAGTTCCCCCTACACCTGCTTCCCTTTGAAAAAAAATGGTGTTATTGATGAATTGCATTATTGTATTACTTGTAGCTTTGAGGTACAGCAGGTAATTAAGCCTCCTGGCAGTGATTTAATATACGTTGTCGGATTTGCTGCTTCATCCCAGTTTGAGATGTATCAAATCAATGGTAGGAACGGAGAGTTGTTGAAGCATGAAAGCACAACCTTTTCTAGTGGGTTTCTGGGAGAAGTTTCACTAGTTTCTAGTGAAACAGTTGTGGCTCTTGATTCCACAGGGTCAATTTTGCTAACAATAAGTTTTCAAAATGGAGAAATTAGTTTTCAACAGACACCCATTTCAAATCTTTATGAGCACTTTTCAGGACCAGCAATAATAATTCCTTCATCAGTCCCAGGAATATTTGCAATTAAGACAAATGCAATTACTATATTTATTAGAGTGATAGGTGAAGGCATGTTGGAAGTGGCGGAAAAAACAAATCATGAAACAGCCATTAGTGATTCTCTCCCACTCTCTGAGGGACAACAAGCATTTGCATTGATTCAGCATGCCGGCAGTGAGATTCATCTTGCAGTGAAACTTGCACATGACTGGGATGGTAATTTGCTTAAAGAAAGCATTAAAATGAACCAGCAAAGAGGGCTTGTCCACAAGGTTTTCATAAATAATTATATCCGAACTGATAAGTCTCATGGATTTCGGGTGTTGATTGTGATGGAAGATCATTCATTGTTGTTATTACAACAAGGTACAATTGTTTGGAGCAGGGAAGATGGTCTGGCATCAATAATTGATGTAACAACTTCAGAACTTCCTGTTGAAAGGGATGGTGTATCTGTCGCGAAAGTGGAGCACAACCTCTTTGAATGGCTTAAGGTATGGTTATGAATCTTTTCAGATATTTGTTGTTTGCATTTCAACTGAAGGCAACTGTAGATTGCATGATCTAACTATTTTCCTTGCTTTTAAGAGATTAATAGATAATTAATCATTGGTTTTGTTTCAGATGCATGTTGAACTATCGTACATATGAAATCTTTCATATGGTTCTAAAATTTAAAAGAGTGTGGATGTGTGTGACTGTATATTATATATTTAGTTTTAGAAACATGAACTTCCTACTGTCAAAGCATCCATAACTTTATCCACCATTTGAAAATGGATTTGAGGATGTATTTTGACAACATGATTTTGATAAGATGCTCTTCTTCTTAAGGGACATATGCTGAAGCTGAAGGGAACACTAATGCTTGCAAGCCCTGAGGATGTGGCTCTCATACAAAGTATGAGACTAAAAAGTTCTGAAAAGAGCAAAATGACTCGAGACCACAATGGCTTCAGGAAGCTGCTCATAGTACTAACAAGGGCAGGGAAACTTTTTGCTCTGCATACTGGAGATGGACACATTGTTTGGTCTCACTTGCTACGGTCTCTACACAAATCAGAGCCATGTCAATCTCCAATAGGATTAAACTTGTATCAGTGGCAGGTTCCTCATCATCATGCTATGGATGAAAATCCATCTGTGCTTGTGGTTAGCAGGTGTGGTCCAAGTTCAGATGCACCAGGTGTACTTTCTTTTATCGACACTTACACTGGAAATGAGCTTAGTTCTTTAAGTCTTGCTCATGCTGTCGCACAAGTTATTCCACTTCCATATACAGATTCAACAGAACAGCGACTCCATCTGCTGATTGATTCTGATAAACACGCACATTTATACCCAAAAACTTCTGAGGCTCTTAGCATCTTCAAACGTGAATTTTCAAACATATACTGGTATTCAGTTGAGGGTCACAATGGCATCATCAAGGGTCATGCTTTGAAGTACGAGTGCACTGGCAAAGTGGCTGATGAATTCTGCTTTGACACAAGGGAATTATGGTCAGTTGTGTTCCCCTCAGAATCTGAAAAGATCATTGCAACTGTCACTAGAAAATTGAATGAGGTAAAGCATTTCTCCCTTGTTCATGTTCTTTCTTAATGACTTCTGCTTGTTTGTCAACTCACATGGTGATCGTAGGAGTTTTCCATGGTTGCACTGTATAGCATTATTGCAGGAAATGACTGCTCTCTTGGGTTATGTGGTTTTGCACTTCTCCACTGAAGATTTTGACAATTGCATGAAACTTGCCACTTCTTTCTCATTTTCCTATTGACTTCTTCAAATAAATAGTTTAGTTTTTTTTTGGAATATAGGTAAATGTCGTTAACGGACATTATTTCAAAATGTGCATATTCTTCTGTTTATTTTGAATTTTAATTATCGTGCCTTGTTGAGAGTGCTGCATGTATAAAACATAATGCATGCTTGTATATTTGAGTTTTCCAGGTGGTACATACTCAAGCGAAGGTTATAGCTGACCAGGATGTTATGTATAAATATATATCAAAAAATCTACTTTTTGTGGTAACTGTGGCACCTAAAGGCTGCGGTGAAATTGGATCTGTTACACCAGAAGAATCATGGTTGGTCGCATATCTTATTGACACTGTAACAGGTCGTATATTGCACCGTGTGACTCATCATGGTGCACAGGGCCCTGTTCATGCTGTAAGTTACTTATTCACCCATATTGGTGTCATAAGATGCTGTGACAAGGATGCAATTGATAATGCATTCTGTTTATTGTAGGTTTTTAGTGAGAACTGGGTTGTCTACCACTACTTCAATCTTAGAGCGCATAGATATGAGTTGTCGGTCATCGAACTTTATGACCAGTCCCGGGCTGTAAGTGGCGGAACTTGAATTGTTTATGCTGAGTCGCATGTGTCATCACTTAAATTAAACTTGTCTTTTCCAACTAAAATACCACCCGCAGGACAACAAGGATGTCTGGAAGCTTGTTCTTGGAAAGCACAACCTTACTTCACCGATATCTTTATTTTCCCGACCAGAGGTCATAACAAAATCACAGTCCTACTTTTTCACCCATTCGGTGAAAGCTATAGCCGTGACATCAACAGCAAAGGGTATAACATCCAAGCAGCTTCTCATTGGTACAATTGGTGATCAGGTAAACTAAAAATTTTCAGAAAGAATTAAATAACGGAATTGTCTTTTCTGCTGGATTGCGAGTTAAATATTCTTCTCCTTTAAACGAATATTACTAGAGTTGTGTGTTACGTCTGCCTGCATCCTGATTGTAAACAATTTTACAGGTTTTGGCACTTGATAAGCGTTTCCTGGATCCTCGTCGATCAGTTAATCCTACACAAGCAGAGAAAGAAGAAGGCATTATACCACTAACAGATTCGTTGCCAATCATTCCTCAGGTTAGTTTCCTCCTAGACCATCTTATTTCTTCTACATTTAATACATATGTACAAACACGCCTTTCTCGACTGATACTGTTTTGAGATTCTCAATTAGTATGAATGCAAGCATACATTTAAGGACATAAGCATATGCTGAAACTTGCCAACCATCAATGAATTGTTTTCAGTCCTATGTCACGCATGCGCTTAGAGTGGAAGGTCTTCGAGGTATAATAACAGTACCAGCCAAGCTGGAATCGACAACGCTTGTCTTCGCTCACGGCGTGGACCTCTTTTTCACTCAGCTTGCACCTTCAAGGACGTACGATTCGCTCACGGAAGATTTTAATTATGCCTTGCTCCTCATTACAATCGTGGCGCTCGTAGCGGCCATCTTCGTAACTTGGAGGTTGTCCGAGAGGAAAGAACTACAAGAGAAGTGGAGGTAAATTAAGTTCTCTATTCATTACATTTGTGCATCAAACACATTTCTCTTCTTGGATGAGTATGACATGTATGCTTAATGATTTGAATTTAGATTATTAGAAAGGGATTCTTCTTAACTTTGTAATCCTTCTAAATTTTTGTAGCATTTCCTCTTTAATTTCTATTTTTCCATTGCTATGTTTTAACAAATTGGTTTCTCATGATCAATATATATATATATATATAATCTAGGGTAAACTATGCATTTAGTATCTAACTTTTAATTTTTTTCAAAATCATACCGAATGTTTAGTTTTCATTTCATTTTAGTACCCACCATTAAAAACTTAACGTGTTTAGTTCCTAAACTATCAATTTTGGTTTGTTTGAGTACTTAAACTTTCAAGTTTTTCAAAATTTAACGTTAAATTTTGAATAAGGTGCTAAAATGAAACAAAAATTAAAGTTTTTAGGTATGATTTTGAAGAAAAAAAATTGAAAGTTTAGGTATTAAAATGGATTAAAATTGATAGTTTAGGTACCAAACGTTATTTATCCTTTAATAATAGACAGATTGTCCAAGTTTACACAAACATGTCTATTGTAAGGTTTAGAGGTCTTATTTATATATATACACGTGTGTGAGAGTATTATATTATAATATTTTTTAAAATTGAATAATGAGAAATGTAAACAATTTGAGATAGAAAAAATTATAATTAATTAATAAGTCATCTTAATTAGTTAAATATGCTTATATTTTTATAGAGATAAATGCACAAATTAATCATTCACATTAATATTTGTATATCGATATTAAAGTAAAATAATACAATGTATTATAAATTTGGAAAGTGGATTGGGTTTTAAGTATTGGAGTTTGAGTTGACTCATTTTATAAATGAGTTCATTTTATGTTGAAGTTTATTTTTCGGGCCTAATATTTAAAAAATATTACTTGATTGTTCGTTATGTTATAAATTCGTTATTTTTCATAAAAAAAAAATTGACAATAGTTGAGTTGAATGTTGATTTACTATCTGAGAAATGATAAAATATGATCGTAGAATTTCACACGACTATCAATATCTCATATTACAGACTAACATCTAGTTTAAACTACCGTTAGTTTTCTAACGGAAATTGACAAGTTTAGAACATGATGAATAGTCGGGTGATCATTTTATAACTTTTAATAGTTGAGGACTCAACAAAGTAACATTTATAATCGGAGATTATTTTGTAACTTTTAATATTTAAGATACATCCTATATCGGGGGACTATTTGTGTACTTTACCCTTAAATTTAATACTATATATAAGAGTATTAATAGTTCTAATAACGTTGATAAAAGTTTGTTCCCCATAAAATTAATATTAAATTAATTTCAAAAAATTATTATTAGTTAAAATAGAACCTTTTCTTTTGATTGGGATAATGAGAGATTGGTTTAAACTTCAAACATAAGATGGCAATGAATCCAATCAAAGACGAATGCTTAAACGCAGATAAGATAAGGTATTCTTTTCTTTGTCGTAATTATCCTTAGCAATTTAAGGTTTTTATTTTATTTTCTATGGATTGAGAATTTAAAATTATAATTAATATAGTTTTTAATAGAGAAAATAACTTCAGTGACAAAAAATCCCAGATAATATACGATTTTGACCAACTTTTTTTGGATTTGCGAAAATGACCAACAAAATCGCAATGCGATCTTTAATTCGCATTGCGATCTCCACTATCGTAAATTCACATTGCATTTCGCGTTGCGATAGTTGAAAATCGCGTTGCGATTTTCCATTTCGCGTTACGATAGTCTACAGTTGTCGTTGCGATTTTCCAAATTCGTTGCGATAGTCTACAGTTGTTTTAAGGTGCATGATTGTTAATTGTTTCCTGAATAATCACATTGTATTGGAACGCGAAATGGAAAATCGTAACGCGATTTTCAACTATCGCAACGCGAATTTGCGATAGTGGAGATCGCAATGCGAATTTGCAAAATCGCAACGACAACTGTAGACTATCGCAACGCGAAATGAAAAATCGCAACGCGAAATGAAAAATCGCAACGCGATTTTCAACTATCGCAACGCGAAATGCAACGCGAATTTGCGATAGTGGAGATCGCAATGCGAATTAGAGATCGCATTGCGATTTTGTTAGTCATTTTCGCAAATCCAAAAAAAGTTGGTCAAAATCGTATATTATCTAAGATTTTTGGTCACTGAAGTTATTTTCTCTTTTTAATATAATCACTTACTATCAATTATGATTAAAATTTTAAACTGATACCAAAACTTCAAAATGTTCAAATTGAGTCCTTTAAGTCTTCTTGTCAATTGTTGATCTATCAATTTTAACACTGGTCGTTTGAAAATGCCTATAAAAGTGTCTTTGAATAAAATTTTGTTTGAAAAGTAAAAACATTCACAATCATTTTCAGTTTAAAATTTACATTTGAAGCGTAATTATTAACTTAAACTAAAAAACTGAAAAATTCATATTTTTACATTGAAAAAACTCGTTTGAAGAAACATTATTAGACGAAGTTAAGTGTTAGTTTAAATTTAACATCATATATATATATATATATATCAATCAAATTATAATTATATGTTTATCTTATATATAATGTAAATATGACGTTTTACGACTAAATTTATAGATAATCTGATTTAAAACCCAGACGAGGATTAAAATTTTAGTATAATTTAAAATCTAAATTAATTTAAAATCTAAATTAATTTAAAATTTAGACTTTATTTTAAGAATTTTTAATGGAATTAACCCTATTTTTTCTGGTTCTTTTATCTATACTTTTTAGAAAGTTCAAACGATGAAAAAGAAATTAAAAACAAACAAATATCTTTAGTCCCAAAATTTAAATTTACTTGCTTAATTGGGTCCCTCAAAAAATGGGTCAAAGCGACAGCGTTTCCTCTTGCAGGCATTACAAGAATATCTTCCGTCCACTTTAGACAACAAAACGATATTGACCGTACACGTGTGCAATAAAACAAGAATCCAATCGCTTTCAGACTTCATTAGCGCCAAATTCCACTTCCTTCACTTTCCCAGGAAAAAGCCCTAAACATATCGTAATCCAACGGCGTTTAATCACTCCCGACTCTTCTCCCTAATCTCGTCCGTCAATAAAAAAAATTCAATTTCAACTGTCCGATTCAATCAAAAACAAATCTGACCGTCCACTTTTTGTAAAATTTCAAATTTAAAGATTTCGAGAGAGACAAAGAGGGACTGAAGCAAAACAAAGGCTGAAGGAAGAAGAATAAAAGAAAATTACAAAGCTCTAAGCTTATGGCGGCTTAGCTTCCTCACCCTCAGAATTTTCCTTGTGACTTTAATTTTTTATTTATCGGAAATTTGATCGGTAAACTGAAAAGAAAATTCGTAACTCTGCAATTTTTTTTTATTTTATTTTTTGAATTTCAATTTAATTTACTGTTATTTGTTTAATGATTTGGTTTTTTTTTTGGTATGAAGATTGAAGATGGGGGAAGGAGAAACGGTTTCGGATTTCACACCAAAGAAATTGGCGAGGCAACTAGATTTCACGGCGGGGTGTCGCGCGTCCGGAAATGCGACTTTACCGGATCACCCGATGCATTTGCAGTCGCAGCCGCAACCGCAATGGCAATCACATACGGAGTTGCCGACGAAGCCACATCATCAATCGCAGGAGCTGCAATTGCGGTTGAGTTCACAGCCGCAAACGGTGCAGTCGCAGCTGCTGCCACAACTAAAACCTCAGTCACCGTCAACGCCACTAGTTCAGACACGGAGGCCGCCTCCTCCGCCTTCGCAGCCGGTTACCGTCATGCAACGGGTGCCTCATCCAGTTCAGAAGCTTCCGATGCAAACATTTCAGTCGAGGTAGCTTTTTCAGGACATCTTTAAGTTCGCTCTAAACTATAAATGTCCTTTTTTTGTTAGGAAAAATTATAACGTTTTTATACCTATAAAATCTGTTTTTCTTGAAAATAAGCGTGTTTATGATTTAAACGAGGCTTCGGTTGATCCTAAAGCAGATCCATTCCTTCTTCGTGGATTTTTTTTTCTTCTAATTTGATAATCTATTTTGTATGAGATCAGTGTTATCTGTTTGGCTTTTTGGTCGTTTCTGGTCATTTTTAGCTAGACAGTAGAATAGTGAGAACATTGTGTACAACTAGAAATATGATTGTTGCATAATGTTTTTTTTAACTCTTTGTTCATATATGTTTGTCCAGCAAGCAAGAGTCCCCGAGGTCCAGACCACGAGCACATGCTGAAGCAAAAGATGGAACTCCAAAGAAACAGAAGCAGTGTAATTGCAAGAATTCTCGGTGTTTGAAGTTGTAAGTTCATTAATATTTATTTAAATTCTGTCACCTTTCTAGTTAGATGTTTGATCTATAATAAGCCATACATATCAAAGTGTTACATACTATTATGATATTGATCTTTTGTGGAGACTAACCAAATTGCTTAACCGTTTCACTTCTAGGAAACGTTGTCTGGATAATAGTGGCTTGTCAAATTGCAGTCGACTTTTGCTTACAATATTTTCTCCTGTCTGTGGTAGATGATCCATTGTTCTCAGTGTATATTTGAAGCTTTCTTTGAGGAAAATTTTTTCATCACATCAATAATATTCCTCTTGCTAGTGGGAATATGAAACAATCTTTGTTAGATTACAATTAACCAACACCAGTTTGGTTTATAGGGTTTATCGTTTACCATGTATTTAAGATCTATTATCAATTGTATTGTCTTATTTAAATTGGAACAGTATTTGCCAGTACGTTTGAACCTGTTTCTTCATGGTTGTGGTCTATCAAAATTTTCTTACATTTATTTATTGGGTACTATTTAGCTTTTTGTTTTTGGTTATTATTAGGTACTGTGAGTGCTTTGCTTCTGGAATGTATTGTACTGATTGCAATTGCATAAATTGCCATAACAATGTGGAGAATGAGGCAGCAAGGCAAGAAGCAGTTGGAGCAACCTTAGAACGCAACCCAAACGCGTTTAGACCGAAGATTGCCAGCAGTCCCCACAGACCTCAGGATACAAGGGTATGTTATCATGATCTTCAAGCTGTTTCGTTATGAGTGGTATCAAGTGATAGCGATGAGGTTTTCCCCTTTCAATTTCCTTCTTTGAGGTTCAAATTGAAGAATAATATTAACCTGAGTATATTTCAACTATCTTTTGGCTTTATTCTTTCTACTTGAAAATTGTTTCATTGATCCAATCAAAGTATTTATTTATATAGAAAAATGGAAATTAGAATTTTTGAGTTTTAAAAGTTTCTTAATTGTCTTGAAACATATTTAGGATGATGCATATGATGTCCAAATGGTCGGAAAGCACAATAAAGGATGTCACTGCAAGAAATCCAGTTGTCTCAAGAAGTATTGTGAGTGCTTCCAAGCTAATATTTTATGCTCTGAAAATTGCAAGTGTGTGGACTGCAAGAACTTCGATGGAAGTGAAGAAAGAAGAGCTCTTGTTCATGGTGATCATAACTCAATAGCTTACACACAGCAGGCTGCAAATGCAGCCATTAGTGGCGCTGTTGGTTCTTCTGGCTTTGGGATTCCTTTGGCATCCAAGAAGAGAAAAAGTGAAGAGCTCATTTTTTGTCTACCATTGAAAGATCAATCAGTTCAAAAAAATGTTCAACAGAAACAGGTAATTCCTTGAATTGTGATTATATGCACAAATCATCTTGGTTGATCAAGAACACTGATGGGATTTGTGCAATCTTCAGAAAAAAATGATTCTTTTTCAGCCTTTCTATGTTATGCGATCGTCTTATAGGCACCATTACTATCAGGCACCACAGTTTTTGTATTAGTTTTGGTTTCTAAATGAGAACTGATTTCATGGATGGACTTTTTGGCTCTCTCGTCAGGAATAATCTATTTTGTTTGGTATATTCACAAATTGACACAAAGGATGGTTTTTGTGGATGAATAGAGAAGGCACTTAATTTTGTCTCAACTGCTTTAAGATTTTAATTATTACACAATGCAACCAAAATTTGGCTTGCTGTTTACTCTCTTCTTTCAAGGGAAAACGATACGAATATCTCTCGAATTCCAACCAGGAAAATCATCTAAGAGATTTCTTGGCCACATCTCCATTATCTGCTCCTGCCTCTGGCACTGCTAATACAACATCATTGGGATCTTCAAAAGTCACATACAGGTAGGAAGTGTGTTTATTATAATTCAGCTTTTAATTAACAGAAACATCCATTTTTGTTTCATTCCCCCTCTTACAAGCTAATTAGTGTCACTTCGGATTATTGAAGATCACCATTGGCAAACATCCTCCAACCACAGGATGTCAAGGAGCTGTGCTCCGTTTTTGTGTTATTTTCATCAGAAGCTGGAAAGGCACTTGCTTCGGGTACTAATTATTATTCATAAATCCTGAAGTTCTTGTTCTTTTCATTGCAGTATCACTTTCAACTTTTTTGTTGATCATATGGCTGAGATTGCCACAGCGAAAAATGTGTTGCATGTACTATCAATCTATCATGCATTTCCATATATTATCCTTGTCATAATGTGTCTTTCTGCAATATGCATCTTCTCAATACAGTTCCGTTTCTTAGCTTTGAACGACAGAAGCTTTTGTCACCAATAAAATTAGAGGGAAACTGGTAAAATAGCTTGTTTATATATTTACATTTTAGATGTTATGTTTGAAAATTACAACTGTGTGGATAAGTTTAAGTTAATGATTCTGCCATTCAGCCTACATAGGTGAAACAAATCAATTATTTGTTAGAAAAATAATGACTGTGCATTATGGTATCAATTGATAAACCGGTGTTGTTAACGTATAAAAGGTACGGAGTCAATAGGTCTAGTATGGTTTTTTGAAAGTCATCATATTGACCAGAGCCCTCCTCCTGAAAAGAATTTGGAGCTACTTTTATGGTGCTTAAATGGCATAAGGGGGCATCATGTAGGAATATTGCAGAAAAAGTGAAACAATAAATAAGCTCAACCAAACAATGGCTTGATATTATATAGTTGTTGATCATAAATGGAAATGGTGAGAACAATAAGATTTGAGAAGTCCACCCGATCCTTCGATTACACTTCAAAATTATTTGTATGACAAATTACTGTGGTCTGCAAAACTGGTAAAATACTTGATGGTTGATATATTCATTTTTATAGTCTTATAGAGACTCTTATCTGTTGGGTGTTTTGCATAGAAAAATTGCTTCCTAAAGACTCCACGAGTGACATCTTATTTGTAATACCTGTTCCATACATTAAGCGAAGGAGAAAAAGGGGAAAAGGAGATGGTTCTCACCAATTATATTGTTCTCTCCATGATCTGTGGATCTTGTAATCTAGGTCTTTACCTAATTGCATTCTTGATTCACCTTGGGTTTATGCACAAATTCACAAGTTTATACTTTTTGTACTGTTGAAGTCTTGAAGATGGCATATAGTAGTACTAATGTGAAACTTGCAATTTCCAGAGAAAAGTAGCAAAAAGGATCAACAAACAGAGGAAGGCTCTATTGAAACTACAGTTTTATCTGGTCACTTGCATGAAATGAGTCACAAAGGTTATGATGTTCCAAGCGCTGCCACTGATGACCTTAAGAGTGAGAACCAGGGAGATGCAGATGGAAGTGGCAACTCTGGAGCAGATGAGAACGATGTGCAGAATGGAAGGCCCTTGTCTCCTGGAACACGTGCATTGATGTGTGATGAAGAAGACACAATGTTTATGGAAGTGAAGTCACCTAATTTATTGACAAATCATTCTCGAAATGTCACTCAGAAATCATCTAATGGCCATGAGTGCACAGAGGTCTATGCAGAGCAGGAAAGGCTTGTTTTGACATTGTTTCGTGATTTTCTCAATAAACTCATTACTTGTGGGAGCATAAAAGGTAAGCTAGTTGGTTTCACGATTCTATACTCCTAATTTTGATAATTTTATTAGGGGCAATATCTGGTCAGTGTTCCTTCTCAGAAACTCTCCAAAGAGTTGAGTTACTGCCTCCATTACAATTCGCACTCTATTATTGCTTTCTTTAGGGCTCTAAATTAACTGATTAATGTTGAAGGTTCTACTTTTGGGTGTTGAAAATTTCAGAATTGAAAGAAATAAAAAAATAGTTTTCTGGTCTTTTCATCCCATCTTGAGATTTATTTGATTTTCCAACCTATATTTTCGATTCTTATTGTAAATCTTAGGTGTTAGTTTTCAATTAACGTTCTTAAATGTTGATTTGACCTAATACGTTTCACAGAGACAATGCGATCTCCGTCGGCTAGAAGTGAAAAAAGAAGTAAAGAAGAACCCATGGAAAATGGTGCTGGGAAATCCGGGAATGCAGCAGTTAAGGAGCCTTATCCTATCGGAATTGTAAAGTCTCCGATCCCAGCACCTGTAGAAACAGGTCACGCTCTCCCTGCAGTATCTTCTGCTTTGAATACAGATCAGCCTTTAAAACACAATTTGCCCAACCGAGACACGAAAATGTAGAGATTCGAAGCTTGAATTAGCGAGTAAGATTGTTCTCATTATCATCTGGCATTCTTTCTTCGTGTTTCATTATATTCCCGCTTTTTATTCTTGGATCCTTTATTAGGTCCAAACTCCAATAGTGTTAAGAGTTAACCATGATAGCTAGACACGTTAGACCCTTACCATCTTAAGGCATTAGGAACAGATACACTGTATGTTTTGGATTATTTTTGGGGCTGTCTTGCTAGTACGTACAGGGTGATGGAATTTCAGTTAAAACCCTTAAGCTGTATATTTCTCAATATTATCAGTTCTGTTGGAGACACCATGCATCCAATTCCGACACGTTTGATCGAGTGTTTACCATTTTTACTGTTATAATTCGATTTTTCATAACAATATGTATGCAATGGAGTCAGTATCTTGTCTGTGTTTTGGTGGAGTTCCCTAGCAACTTCCCAGAACTGGTAAATTAACAAAGATGGAGTTCCCTTGCTCTCTCGTCCCTTTTTATATCACTATTAAGCTGTATATTTCTCGATAATATCAGTTCTATCGGAGGCACCGTGCATCCAATCCCGACATGATTGATCAAGTGTTTACCGTTTCTGTTATAGTTCGATTGTTTCTTAACAATATATATGCAATGGGGTAGGTATCTTGTGGGTGTTTGGGTGGAGTTCCCTAGCAACTTCCCAGAACTTGTACATTATCAAAAATGCAGTTCCCTTCGCACTTTTGTGCCCCTTTATATCATCATTGAATCAAACTAAACTTTGCTTTAATTTTTATGGTTATCATTACCTTATGTTTCCCTTTCCTTCTACCTTAAAATTAGGAATAGGCATGGGTCGAGTCAACTTGATTTTTTGGCCAGCACAACCTAAGCTTTCTATATCTCTATCCGTCATTTGCTCCGATCTGAATTTAAGGAGACTTCATCTGATTTGAACTTTGATCCGATCTTTGGGGTAAAATTTGTACTGATCTGTCACAAATATATATAATTTTATTTAAATATATTTAAATTTTGAACTTAAATTTTGACATTTTAAAGTAAAAAGAAGTTAGAAGGAAAATAATTACAATTGATAACAATTAAAGGTCATTTGAATTTTTTTCTTACTGGTAAATGAAACAAATATAACATTTATTTTAACTCAATTGCATTTTAAGAAAAAAAAAGTAAATTAATACCTAAACCTTATTGGATATCACATTAAATATTAATTTTTAGACCCCATGCAGGATATTTAATATTTTTTTATAGATAGAAAATATCTAGAATTATAATAAATATATACAATTATCACTGTAAGCTAAATTATAATTTGGACATTTTCTTATAGTCATTGACACAAAAACTAGCTACCTAGATCACATAAGGACCAAAAGGAAAATATTAAAAAATCTAACCAATGCTCGAACAAAATAAAGATACGAACAAATTTGATTGCATTGACAAACGAACTACAAAAGGGATGAAACTACTGAAAGATCATCGATAAATCACAAATTAGAGTCACAACGTGAGAAAACTATCCACGAGCGCAAAACGCGTATTCAGATTAATCCGAGGGTTCTAGACACGGTAGTTCCTCTGATTTCTCGTTTTTTCTTGTTCCTTTTTAATTCCTTTTAACTTAATCAGGATTGTCATGGTTGAATTTCCAGAGTGTACTGTTTCATCCAAGGTCTTCTTTCTTTCTTTCAGGTGTGGGATTTGATAAAGCTTGCAGATTATTTAACACAGAGAACGGATATAGACCCTACGAGAATCGGAATCACCGGTGTATCGCTCGGGGGTTAGTTAAATTCGGTTCGAGATTATGTAACACATGTGGCATATAGAGTTCAAGTGAACATCATGAAAATGCAGGGATGCATGCTTGGTTTGCTGCCTTTTCTGACACTCGCTATGCAGTTGCTGCTCCAATCATTGGTGTTCAGGTAACAAAATAATTCTGGATTCTTGAAAGCATAGAAGATCAAATGAAGAACAGAAACAGAGCTTTCATGTTATACATGTAGGGATTCCAGTGGGCCATCGAGAACGACGAATGGCAGGCTCGTGTCGACAGTATAAAGCCTGTATTCGAAGGTGATGTACTTAGTATTCATTGTAACATAGCTGAATATATGCTGTCATCTTGGACATGATTGTAGTTGAGTTAAATAACTAGTCTCATTGATGATTTCGTTCAGTGGCAAGGATTGATCTAGGCAAGAGTGCCATTGATAAAGAAGTTGTAGAGAAGGTCTGGGATAGGATTGCTCCTGGTCTAGCTTCCAAGTTTTATTCCAGCAATCACACCACGCCCTCTGCTAGTACTAAATGGTATGACACTCTCGGAAACACTAAAAACTAGCCACGGTTATGCATACATCATTGAAAGAATTTCTTTTTTCGGGTTTATCGATGATCAGGTGCCGATGATCCTCATTGCCCACTCGGTGATATAAAAACTCTGACACAGAGGGCTCGTGAGGCTTATGCGAAGGCTCATGCTTCTAATAAGTTTAAGGTAGGGATGGATTATATAGGTTGCACTTATTACTCATTAAAGTGCTTGCTTCAGTTCTTTTGAAGGTTTCTTAAATGTGCAGCTCATCGCACAACCTGGTATAGGGTGAAAGAAGCATGTACTGGATGGAAAGGTTCCTCAAGCAGTAATAAGGCCCCGGCTTCCGAAAATAAAAGAAGAGATTGCAGACACTGCAATCTAAACCCTAAACTCGAAGATCTAAATTCAATAATAATTTATAAACGTGTCTATGATCGAGATTCGAGATTTTATACTTACTAAATTATACGATAAAAAGACAAGTTACTATCATAATACAAGGTTCAATGCAACCTCTTTTGTTTTGTTATATCATTTTTTATTATACAAGATATGGCATAGGGCTGCTCCTGGTCTAGCTTCCCGTTTCGGTTCACCATTGTCGGTTCGGCTATCACACCATGTCCTCTGCTGATATTATATGGTATATCAAGGGTTGCCAGAATTCGCTTCCTTGTGTATGTATACGTTTCTTGAAACAAAGTTCTTGTAAGTTGAAATTACATTTCGGGTTTGACAATGATTAGATGCCGACATCCATGTTGCCCACTTGACTGTATAAAGATTCCGACAAATAGGGCTCGTAAAGCTTATGCAAAGGCTCATGCTTCTAGCGAGGTTCTTAAGGATTGTTGTTCAAGATGAATTGGCACTGTTATGAGTTTTGGTGTCTTAAATGTGCAGCTCATCGCACAACCTGGAATAGGCCACGAAAAGACACTATTAATGGTGAAAGAAGCAAGTCAGTGGATGGACAGGTTCCTCAAGCTAAAATAATTTCATTTTATTCAGTACATAAGAGAGTGCAAATATCGACATCCAAACAATAAAACAGCGATGTTTGAAAAGCACAAATGAAATCACCGATATTAATCGCGTCTTATGGTTTAAAGACAGTTCATAACACCATAAGTTCACCCTTTTTTGGGCATGGCAGCGAGTCTGGTGTACATTCTTGCCATAGAATGGAATCCTCTGATATCACCCGACCTTAAAAGGTTGCCTGCCAACAAATGGGAAAGGTGTCTGTTACGGGTAAAATCAAAAACAAAAGCAGCTCGAAGTACTATAGGATTTATTTTCGGTGTCAATATATCAGAGCTCAAAGAAATGGGGAGAGCAATGGAGCAGGAAAAAGAAAAAGAAACTATGGACAGATGGTACAGTAGACATCTTCAATTCCCATTTACTCCAGGAACAATGTGATATGCAATTCACTTTTAGTTTGACATTCTCATGGCCATACTATTTTGCTAAAAAGTTCCCCTTTCCTATCAGAAAGTACATGATTCGAGATCAAAGATCTTTCTCGCATGATGGTAATATACAAAACATCAACTTAAAAGGATTAAAAAGGGGAACTTTTGTAATTAAGTATGTGTTTAAGTTGCTCTTTCTACCATTCCTCTCGCAGAAACAGAATCGACATAAAATAGACCAACTTACCGGAATCACAATTAAGAGGGCTATCAGGTTCTGGGTGAGCCATCAAAGCTATTATAGCCCTACAAACAGACTGAAGTGTCCAAGCAGGACTCCAAGCATTCTTCAATATATCAAGGCAAATCTCTCCCGTCTGTACGACAGAGTAATAATAAATAAAGGCTAAATACTCAATTGTGCAACTTGGAATCAGTACATATAATATATGGCAATAGAATTAAAGATCAAGTGCTACCATATTACACCACTAAATCATAATCCGGAGCAGACAATTATAAGAAGATTGTAATATTACTGGTTTTTAGAGTCAAGTTCTGAGACATGATTAAATTTCTCCTTCCTAGCTTGCTGGTAACTAAGTGAAGTTCATAGCAGGAATATAAGGGCATACATCAACTTGGATAAGATAAAGCTTGCTAAATGAAACTAGGGTCGTTAGTAGTCCCATACAATCTTTAGGTATAAAGGTTTCTCACAAATTTCTTCGAACATTCACTCCCCCGTCTAGATGAATTGACAGCTTCGAATGCTACATTGTGCAGCTAAAAAATATGAAACGTTCATATAAATAGTGTCGTATGGAAACTAATAGGTTCAATGGTGATTGGTGAGTAAGTACTGCTTCTCCGTCAAGATCTTTGGATTTTTGGCAGTCATGGCAGCCAAATCAAAGTCACCAACTTTCATGGGATGGGAAATCATCAAATGTTAGTAAGAGATTAGGACACTATCTTAAGAATCGCCGCTTCTTTCTTTCCTTCTATTTTATGATGTCCAATTAAAGAAAAGCATGAACGGTACTGGAGCCGAGGAATTCATACCTTGAAATGCACATTGGGGTGAAATATTTTCGTCAAGAACCGCACTTGAGGAGGCTGCAAAGGATACTGCTCAGGAGCAGAAAAGGCAAGCTGGAACACTCCACCTTCATAAGGTGTCTCCGACGGTCCCTATATAAAAAAAGGTCATAAATTCAAGACAAAACCAAAAGAAACAAAAAATGTCCATACCATATTTCATTTTTTTTCCACCCTTTTCACTTTGAACAAACCTTGATAAGAGCAGCCCACTTAAATATGTTAGAATCATCACACATTAGTTGAATATCGGGGTCGGCCGCCTTCTCTCGCTGTACCTCTTTGTATTCCTTAAACAACCTTGCTCTTGATGCCTTCACATAAATACTTCAACAACGAAAATCAATGAAAGAATTGATTTTCTCAACAATCCCAACTAAATTCTCAGGTCATCACCGTTTAATTGGTCCGATACACACAAAAAAATCCATAATTAAACCAAGAAGACACTATGTAAATATGAGCTAACCTGCATTTTCCGTTTCTTGCTGGAAATTCAAAGATGCTTCAAAAATCTATCTTTATATATCAGCGTGACTAGTAGCTGCGAAATCCAAACGCTAAATTAAACGAGAAATAAAAGAGAGATTATTAGAATCCAACCTTGTTGAGAAATAAACGAGTAACAAGTAATTTCCCTATAGCCAGATTAGTGAGAATACGAAATAAAAGCGAAAAAATAATACCCGAAAAATTGATAATGGAGTTCAGCCAATTGTGCTTACGTCTCCGGACTGCTGCAGATCTTTTACTAAAGAGAAAAAAAATTACACACTTGAGAGAGAACTGGAAGATTTTGTGATGATTTTGAAGCTAAATGAGCTAGGATATTTATAGTTGAAACTTAGGGACCAATCTTTGTAAATACCCTAAAGTTCAATGACTAAAAATGATTTTCCCATTACTTAAATTCAAAAATAATGGGCTGCCTAACTTTGAAAAATTAGCAGCCCCCATTTAGCCACCTTTGAAATCATATAGCCACCAAAAGCCATCTAAAAGTCATGCATTTTTCAACAATCTCTCACTTGAAGACTGATTTTAATATGTCTTCACACCTCGATCAATGCAGCAGATTTTTGGTCTTGATTACTCTAGCATGCCAACTGAAGCTGAACACAACTTCAGTTTGTCCGTAGTCACCGTCTTTGTTAACATGTTTGCTGGATTTTGAGCTCCACTGATCTTTTCAAGTTTCAAAATCCCATCTTCCAGAAGAGACCGGATAAAATGATATCGCAATTGTATGTGCTTCATCCTGGAATGAAAAGACGGATTCTTCGCTAGATGGATAGCACTTTGACTGTCGCAATATAATACATTGTTTTCTTGTTTCTTGCCTAACTCTTCCAAGAAACTTTGGAGCCAAACCATCTCCTTGCTGGCTTCCGTAACAGTGACATATTCTGCTTCAGTTGTGGAGAAAGCAACTATCTTCTGTAGTTGAGAAACCCAACTCACTGCAGTACCTCCTAGAGTATAGACATACCCTGTAGTGCTCCTTATGATGTCAACATTTTCTTTTAAGTCAGCATCTACATAGCCTGTCAGCATCATATCTCTACCTTTGAAACAAAGTGCTTTGTTTGTTGTACCCCGCAGATATTTGAGGATTCATTTGACTGCTTACCAGTGTATTTTGCCCGGATTATTCATGTACCTGCTAACAGCTCCCACTGCATGAGCAATATTTGGTCTGGTACAAACCATGGCATACATCAGACTTCCAATTGCTGAGGCGTACGACACCTTCACCATGTGTGCACGTTCTTCCTCCGTCTTTGGTGACTGTTCTTTGGAGAGTCTGAAATGAACACCTAAAGGTGTACTTACTGGTTTAACATCTTGCATGTTGAACCTAGAGAGTACTTTGTTGATGTACTCAGCCTGTGATAACATCAAAGTCCCCGACTTTGTATCTCTCTTGATCCTCATCCCAAGAATCTGCTTTGCAGATCCCAGATCCTTCATAGCAATCTGCTTCGACAATTTTTGCTTTAAGTTTATAATCTATTGCATGTCTGAGCCTGCAACGAGCATGTCATCAATATACAACAATAAAATAATGAAGCTGTTGTCGAACCTCTTGATGTTGCAACAATGATCTGCTTGGCATCTGGTAAAACCACTGCTACTCATGAAGCTATTGAACTTCTTGTACCACTGTCTAGGAGCTTGTTTTAAACCATACAAGCTCTTCTTCAACCTGCATACCAGGTTTTTCTTGCTTGCCTCTATGAAACCTTCTGGCTGCCTCATATAGATTTCTTCCTCCAAATCACCATGAAGGAAAGTTGTCTTTACATCTAGCTGCTCAAGATGTAGATTTTCTGCAGCTACAATTTTCAACACCAGTCTGATAGTAGACAGTTTCACGACTGGAGAGAAAATTTCATTGTAGTCAATACATTATTTTTGCTGAAAACCTTTGACAACCAATCTCACTTTGTAACGTTTGTTCCCATCGTGCTCTTCTTTGATCCTGTAAATCCACTTGTTGTGAAGCGCTTTCTTGCCTGGTGGTAATTCAGCTAATTCCCACGTCTGATTTGACATAAGCGAGGCCATCTCATCTTTCATGGAAGACTCTCACTTGACTGAATCCTCTACTTGCATTGCTTCATCATAGCACTCTGGTTCACCATTGTCAGTCAGCAACAAGTAGTGCAAAGAAAGAGAATACCGTTGGGTTGGTTTAGGAATTCTGGAGGAGCGTCTTAGTTCTGGTGTACCTGGTTCTTCTTGAACTGCTTTAGGACTGATCTGAACATTATTTCCAGAAATCTCCTCGAACTCAGCAAATTCCTTTGTTTCAGCTTCGATGTTTGAGCTACTTGATTCTATGGTTGATCTGTCTTTGTACATCACATTCTCATTGAAAATGACATCTCTGCTTCTGATGATCTTTCGATTTTCGTAGTCCCAAAATCGATAACTGAACTCATCACCACCATAACCAACAAAGACACATTTGTTGGACTTGGCATCAAGTTTACTTCTTTCAGCAGAGTTTATGTGTACATAAGAAATATAACCAAACACTCTTAAGTGTGAAAGGTTTATTTCTTTCTTACTCCACATTTGCTCTGGTATTCTGCCATCCAAAGGAACCGAGAGCCCACGGTTGATCAAGTAAGCTGCAGTGTTGATAGCTTCAGCCCATAGAAATTTAGGCAATCTGGCATGTATCCTCATGCTTCTGGCACGTTCATTCAGAGTTCTGTTTATGCGCTCTGCTATGCCATTCTGCTGCGGTGTCATGGGAACTGTTGTCTCCATCTTGATCCCATTGTTTGCGCAGAAATCTCTGAATCTACGATTTCTGTACTCTCCTCCATTGTCAGACCTCAACCGCTTTACTTTCAGATCAGTCTCATTTTACACCATGGCCTTCCATTTTCTGAAGGTATCAAAGACTTCTGATTTCTTCTTCAGAAAATAAACCCACACCTTCCTTGTAGAATCATCGATGAAGGTGACATAATATAATGAGCCTGCAAGAGATGGAATTGGAGATGGTCCCCATACATCAGTATGAACCAACTCTAACTTTTCAGCCTTGGGTGTCTTACCAATCTTTGCAAAGCTGACTTTCTTTTGTTTGCCAAAGATGCAGTCCTCGCATAGTCCGACATCTATATTCTTTAGATCCGGCAGCTTCCCCTTTGACAAAAGTGTCTTTATCCCTTTCTCGCTCATATGGCCAAGAATTTGATGCCATAGGTTTGATTTTCCATCAGCATCTGCTACTGCAATGATATTCTCTAAATTTGAGGTTAAATAGAGAGTACCAGTTTTCTTACCACGAGCAATGACGAGTGCTCCTTTGGTAATCTTCCATTCACAGCCTGAAAAGGTTGTGCTAAATCCTTCACCATCAAGTTGTCTTACAGAAATCAAATTTCTTTTGAGGTTAGGAATATGTCTCACTCCTTTCAGCGTCCAGGTGGTCTGGTTTGGCAACTTTAGTCGGATGTCTCCTTTTCCGACGATCTTCAAGGTTTCATCATCAGCTAGATGAACCTTCCCAAAATCACCACTGACATAATTTTCCATGATTTCTCGGAATAGGGTGGAGTGGAAAGATGCCCCTGAATCCAAGATCCATGATTCAATCGGACTGTTGACGCTTAGAATCATGGCATCACCTGTCTCCTCTATCACGTTGGCAGAATCCTATGCGCCGGTATTTTTCTTCGGTGCTCGGCAATCTCTTTTAAAGTGACCCTTCTTGCCTCAATTATAATAGGTAAAATCTTTCTTTCCCGTTCTGGATTTTCCCCGTCTGGATTTCGATCTGCCATGATTTGAATTTCTTTATGAAGTTCTCCCTCTGAACTCCGTGTGCAAGGCTGAGGAGGTTGATGCTTCATCTGATTCTCTCCGTCGAATTTCTTCGCTCAGTACCAGAACCCGAACATCGTCGAATTTTAATTTGTTGTTTCCCGACGAGCTGCTGACTGCTGTAACAGTAGCATTCCAACTGTCTGGTAGAGATAATAAGATAATTAAAGCTCAAACTTCATCATCGAATTCAATTTCCACTTAACTTAACTGGGTTGTGATTGTGTTGAGTTCATTTAGGTGTTGTGTCATCGATGCCCCTTCCGTCATCCGCAAATTGAATAATCGCCTCATCAAGTGAACTTTGTTTGAGGCTGATGGCTTCTCATACATACTGGAGAGAGCCGCCATAAGACCCGTCGTGGTCTTTTCCTTTGCTATGTTGAAAGCAACATTGCAGGATAACATCAGTCGGATAACTCCGAGGGCTTGTCTGTCGAGAAGAGCCCAGTCTTCATTCTTCATGCCCTCTGGTTGCTTTCCTGAGAGAGGTTGATATAGATTTTTCTGGTACAAAAAAATCTTCAATCTGCATCTTCCAAAAGCCAAAGTCCGCACCATCGAACTTTTCAATTTTCATCTCCCTTCGTCTGCAGTCATCGCTCCCACTCGAATCTAGTTTCATTTGGATCGTTTTCTGACAATTCTTGCGAACCACCGTGTATTAGAACACCTCCGTCGACAAATTCATTTTGCCGACAAAATTTCACTATTTACGTGAATAGTAATGAATAGTAACCTCGCAAAAAAATTTGACACAACTTACAACCAAAAGCTCTGATACAATTGTTGGGAAATAAACGAGTAACAAGTAATTTACCTATAGCCAGATTAGTGAGAATACAAAATAAAAGCGGAAAAATAATACCCGAAAAATTGATAACGGAGTTCAGCCAATTGTGCTTATGTCTCCGGCCTGCTGCAGATCTTTTACTAAAGAGAAAAAATTACAGGTGTTTACAAAACACACTTGAGAGAGAACTGGAGATTTTGGGATGATTTTGAAGCTAAATGAGCTAGGGTATTTATAGTTGAAACTTAGGGATCAATCTTTGTAAATACCCTAAAGTTCAATGAATAAAAATAATTTTCCCATTGCTTAAATTCAAAAATAATAGGTTGCGTAACTTTGAAAAATTAGCAGCCCCATTTAGCCCCATTTAAAATCATATAGCCACCAAAAGCCATCTAGAAGCCATGCATTTTACAACAAACCTAAAGAGTTTACCTGAGATAATTTTTAACAAAAAATAACAACTTTGGAACATAATGATAATCGGGTGATATTTTATAACTTTTAATAATTGAGAGATTTAATAAAAAAAATTCTATTGTTGAAGGAACATTTTATAACTTTTAATAGTCGATGGATTTAATAAAACAGTACCCTATAGTCAGGGGATCATTTGTGTATTTTACCTTAAACTTTTTTGTCATTAAAAATTTTAAAAATTATAAAATAATTTAATTGTAATAATTTTAATGATATAAAAGATCATTTCTAACCTAATTTAATAATCATTTATATATTTTATCTAATATATGTTTAATAATAACGCACACAAAAATAATTAATGAAATAAATTTATTTTAGATAGATTTTTCACGTCGCATTTAAATTGACATTTAACAATTTAGTTAATGAATATAATGACGAAAGAACTTGACTGAGACTATATGATATTTCAATAAAGGTGTAAATGAACATAATTTGAACAAATAAAGTTGCATTGTTCGTTTGTTTATTTGTTAAAGTGTTTATTTTCGTTTAAATTTTTAATATCGTGTTTATTTATTTATCTTTGAAGATATATTCGGTTCGTTTAGTGTTCGTGAACATGTTGATTTATATGTTTGCCAATTTATTTGTTTGATCATTTAGAGTTTGTGAACATGTTTGTTTAGTGTTTATAGTTTGAAATTCAATTTTTATCATATATTTAATTTAGTTTGTATCTTCACCGATATTTAAAATATAAAAATATAAAAGAAAAAGGAGAACCATATAAACATGCTTGATAAACGAGTTTTCAAACGAGTTTGTTCTTGAACATAAATGAATCGAATATACATCTGTTCATGTTGGTTCATTTATTATATGAACATAAAAATTTTGTTCAAACTTATTTTAATAAATGAACGTCGTGCAAACAGTTTACGAATAGTTTATCGAACGCTTTATTCATTTACAACCCTATGTTTCAAGGGATTATTTAAAATATTTTGAAGTTTGGGGCCAGCCTATAACTTGAGTCATGATTTAGGATGTCTTGTGTAATTAACCCTCTCAGTAAAAAAATATCAAAGATTGAAATTTGCTTTGACCCTTGACCATACCTAGTGAAGATAAGACTCAACTAGAATGATTTAAGATGCGTAACCAAACATGGATAATGTGGCATAAACCCTAGAAATTACAAAAGATTGAACCCCTCTGTAACAGCAAATTAGGATCCATATTCCTGAAGGTAAAGGAGAAGAAAATATTTTTAATGGCTGGTTCAACGATTCTCTCGAGATTATCATCAGCTCGATTAAAGGCTCTTCCTTTAAAGCTTAAAAGCAATAAATCAGCGTTACCCACGGTTTCTCCATTGAAATCGAGCACTCAGTCTCAGGTTTCTTCTTCAGTGAATCGCATTTCTGGGATTTCAAGGTGAGCTTTTTCGTAGGTAAAACTTTTGAATCTCTAAAGTAACAATTTCACAGTGTTTCGTTTTCCCCTTGAACTTAGATTGCCAGTGGAGCTGAGCTGCTTAATGTCAATGATGCCATTACACAGTGCAGTTGCTTCAGCTCGCCTCAGATCATTTCTTGCTATTGAATCTCAGAGTTGGGGTTTGATTCCTCAAGGTCACTTTCTTACCGGAACACATGGAATGATATTTTTTTATTGATACAGAAATTGGAGTGAATAACACTGCAGTTTTGATCTCTGAATTCTTATTTCATATGGTTGAGTGTTGATTGTATGAAACAAGTACGCCATGATATTAGATTTACAGAAAAATTTAACTGTTTATCGTAAGAATCATTAATGAATTGTTGAAATATGCGTTGTGCTGTTTCATGGAATCCTTTCTCCTTATTGTTATAGTTGCCATTTGCATTATCGCCAGGGGCGAATCCTTGAGAGGCTGGCAAGGGCCTTGGCTTCTGTATCTTCTCAAAGCTCCTATGATCTTATGTATTTTCTTACATTTGAATGTCAAATGTTCCTCTATAAAGCATTGTGTATGCTGTTAAAGTACTAGTCTGTAGTGATGATAAATTTGATCGAATAAGCTAGAAAAGACAAATGTCTTGTTCATGTTGCTGTTTCTTTCTGAATGTTTTGCATTTTAGCATACTGAATTACTGATTGTTGATCAGTTACGAGCACTTATCATTTGTTTCTAATTCCTGTTGTTTTCCGGTGTTGCAGGTATATCTATGCCTTTATAATAGCACCCCTGGTTGGTGGCTGTTATGAATTGTTTGTTATGATATGATGAATGCCGGAAGCGTCGATCAATGAGAAATCAGTCAGACGTGAATCAAACCAAATATGTTTCATTTCTCTGAAATTTGGTTTAATACAAAGATTATTATCGAGTTTATGTTTTTTTTTGTTCCACTTCTGCAGTTTGCATCTCTCATGATTAGCATCAGTGATCTTTATTCTATGTCTTTAGATGGGAAGTTTGTAGTTCCGGACTGATGGCAGTATCGTTATAATCTCTTTGGTCTCGATATTTCTGTTTTGATTACAATCCTACACGTTTAATACCCCCTTACTCATCAATGAAAGAAGAAAAATTTAGTAACTAGCTATCATCCGAGCCCGACTAATTGATAGCTATGATAAACGTTCTAAACGTGACAAAGTCAATAATCTGTTCCTGGGGAATTTAGTATCCAAGCCCGACTCATTGTGCATTTAAAATTTCAGGAGAATTTAATGGGGGGGACAAAAAGGGCAAAGTGACGTAAGAGGAATCAAAATAGCCACCTGGAATTAAGTAAATAACATTCAAGAAAGAAATTCAGGGTTTCACATGGTACCAGGTGTTCCAGGAGTATTTGTTGGTGGCTTAACTTGTGTCATGTTAACAGGGTCTCCAAACGCCTCATCTTCTGGCTGTGAAGATTTGCCGGGTGGAACATTAGAGGAGCTTGAAACCTGGTATGAAGAATTTATTAAGCCATTGTCATCTATAATGGATAGCCCATGCACTTGCTGGTCAAGATACTGCTGCTCCTCATACCCAGATGGTGCTTCCATTTGTGGGTTTCCATACATTTGTTGTTCTTGTTGGTTGTAAGGAACCATTTGAGGTGGAACCATGCCCATGCACTGAGGTTCTTGGCTTTGTTGGGGATGAAAACTAGCAAACTGGCTTCCCTGCATGGCCCGGTTATTATTAGTTGCGGAGAAATGACCGGTTGTGATCAGCTGAGAGTATGTGCTTACCATTGGCTGGGGATACTGAGCACCTGGAATTGGGCTACAGTCTGCTGGTTGTGCCTCCCAGGGTGGGGGTGGTAGTGCTAGTACGACACGGAAAAAGTAAGTTCCATTGATTTTAGTGTAGTAGCATATCAAGAATATAAACTATTCAGCCTGCCAAAGAGGTCTAGAACATAACTACATGAATTTGATAAGAGAAAAGACCATAACGGCGTTAGTATTTTCTGTCAAGTAGGATCAATCTGTGCATGAAAAGCTTATTAAACAGAAACAAACCATAGGCAGGTGAAGGGTACGGCTCCTGCTGATCCAGCTGACTATTCCCGGTAGGATCAATGTTCCCATGAAAGTTATGCTCGTGCTGTTGAAATTGAGGAGTCCAAGGATTGGTTTGTCCAGTCAAACCTTGTGTGTTAGAAGAATCATAGGAGTTGTTACCATCAGGGAACATATCATATGGAAGAGCGACTTTCTGCTGTGGTACCGGACTTGTTTCTTGTGCTTCTCCAAAAGGAACAATGACCGGCAAATTATCTGCATTTGATGAATCAAAGTCATTGCAACTAAGTAGGTCTATTTTGGGAGTCGCTGCTGCTGGAGCAGTATTACCTATGTTGAGAACTTGCATCTGCACCAGAGATGGATCTGCAAAGAAATCCGGTTAGTCAAAGCTAAAGATACCGGAAACATCTGATCAAGAATGAGAGATAACCCAGAAATATACTAGTAATCACTGTATATCTAAAATAGTTCAACAGGTTTCATCTTCGTCATAATCAAGCCCCTGCAATAAGGCAACGTTGTTAAGAAAACCGAGTGCCAAAGTTCTACCATGGCTTCAAAAAACTTGTTAACAAATTGCAGGATATTGAGATAAGAGTATGATTAGCACCGCCTAACACATTTTTAATCACTGATTCCTGCATATTGTAAATGGAGCTCAAAAAAGTGTAGTTACCTCGCAATAGAATGGTGGCCGATATCACCAGGATCAGCTAGAGGACCAATGGAATTCCCAGTTTCTCTTGTAGGCTCGGGTTTATTGTTGTCTAGTTGAGAAGAATTTCCTGAAGCTATTGCTTGATGCTTAGCTAGTAAGAGCTGCAAATCTTCATTCAAGTCTAAACCTTGACGTAGAAGTGATTCATCCCTACAAGAGAGATGGAATCAAAGATGATATATGTCTTAAATGTAAAAGTATTTCACGTAACTCCTACAGTTTCCTAGAGGTTAGAAACTGACCACCAATGCAACTCATACACCATGCATGCTAGAATAAACCATAAACAACGACGAAAAAAGTCCGTAAACATTGCAAGGAAAGCAATGGAAGAAGAGCCTATGGAGCAGTCATTTTGGACAAAAAACAAGCATAACATTCCTAGCAACCCAATCTGCAGCTTTGTTAATTTCCCTCGAGACAGAAGAAAGGGATGCATGTGAAAAACAGTTCAAAGAGGACCAAATGCCATCTTCAATTCGCTGAATCGCTCAACCATTCGATCTAATTGAGGTTAAAGCGAGCGATCACATTATGACAACCGGACTCAAAAAATGACCTATGGCCAAGCACTTTAGCAAGTAACACAGGCACAATCAACTGAAGCACCAGGTAGAAGCAAAACAAATGGCATGCATGAAGAGCCCCATACAGAAAAGAATGTCAGCATCATGAAAACAGATGACAGCATCGAGTAATCAACGTGTACGAAGTTATGGTAAAAGAAAAAACATCCTTACGAAGTCGAATTAACGAGGTGAAGAACTCTCTGTTTGTAGGTGCGGCACTTCTCCACCAAGTCAACAATGACATCCTGCTTAACTCCCTGAAGTTGTAGAAGAAAGGTCGCTGAATATGTGTTTTCATTACAACACAGAATCGTCTAGGCAAGTAAGCAAAATATCTTTCCTTTCTCTAGATTTTCAAATTGCAAACACATACCTGCTTGTTGTTAGGATCAAATGCGTTTAGCATATCTGCAAGCTCATTCATAATACTCCGCACATTCTCAATTTCTGTCGAACTAATAAATGAAACTCCAATTAGAACACAAAAACATCACTCAGTGAGTGAAGTTTAAAAGAAGAAACAACACATATGCAGCACATAGATACCGTGCTTTTACCAATGTTGTTCGGACTATTCATTTCTTTAAAGTATCTATGAGCAACACATGGATACGAGGATATGACCTCCTAATATCCAATCATATCTATGTCCGATATATACCGGTATCCGACACTCGCACCCGAGTCCAATTAGTATAGGTTTTTACGACTCAAACAACTGAGATGCAACAAAAATACCTCAGGGTTGGAAACTCAGGCTCCCCTGAAGGGTCATCCACCTCTTGCTGATCCCAACTGCCATAGTTTGGGAATTTTCAGGTTGAGTTTGAGACCTCTCATTTCTCTGGGGGAATACTGCCCCAGCTCGCTGAAATGACAAACCAGTTTGGCTCAAGAGAAAAATGGAAGGGAAAAAACCATACCATGTAGAACTACTGCTTGCATAACAGCCATGTTTTGAATATATGAGAGTTATAAGGTCAAATTCTATAGTAGGTCCTCCTACTATGCATTTTTGCAATGTGTATTTTCAAACCTAAAATCGGCGGAATTAGCCCAATAATTCAGGCGAAATAATTATTTGGGTTTATAGAGCGGCCCGAAATTAAGTAGCAATATACGACAATTGCTACAATGACTTGGAACTTGTCACCCTTACGTGAAGAGTTTCAATAAAAAATAAATTGGAATGGAACTCGTCACCCTCATGAGTTCACCCTTCACTATAGTAAATGTCGTAGATCCCAAGATAAATTTTGAATTGTCCTACTGGCCTAAATAATTTATCCTTCTGGATTATTGCCCTAATTTTGCCCCTAAAATCAACCTTTTTTTCATTAATTCTGTCAATTTATTTGACGTGGCTTATATTTAAAAAAAAACATTGATGTAACATATACATTTTAACAATTTTGTTATGTTGGATAAGTATTATACATTTTCTTTTTTTTTCATTTTTTAAATGTGCAAAAAATGTCCAACTATAAAAAATATCAAAATGCATATGCCACATCGTTATATGTTTAAAAAGAATAAACTACATCGAATTATTTAGTGAAATTGCAGGGGGGGGGAAGCAAGTTTCGATATTGAAAATAGACATCAGGAAAAGTAGAGGACTAGAAATGATGAAATTATAGTAAATGGACTAAATTATCCAAAAACACGTAATATAGGGACTTTTTATAGAATTCGACGTAAAGCCAACATACCAGCAATTCTTGGTATGCCATAAAATAGTGTGGATATACTGCCCTTGCCCCTCCGAAATCTTCTTGCCAAGTATCAACCAGAAGCAGTATCTTCTCTTTGAGACCATAATCACTCTACGATAGAGCAGCAAAGAACTTGGAACAAGCTTTAATGGAAGAATAAACACATGCAAAAAAAAATGGGAGTTAAAACATGAGAATCCTACCCTTTTCTTGTACATTTTAACCATCTCGGGAAGAATGTTTCTGTCTGCAACATGCATATGGACAATGTCCCCACAGTTCTTTAACATACACTCTAGCAGCTACAACAAACATAGGTCAAAATCGAAACAAGCATAGTTTCCTTGTAAGAACAAGGTATGAAAAAGTAGAAAAGAGGTGAAAATTTCAGTGCAGATCAATTCTCAGGAGCTTACTGTTAGAGCAAGGATTTGGACTTTAGGATGTTTGCTTTTTAGCTTCTTCTTTATGCCTTTCACAACGTCTTTCACTTGCCTGGGAAATAATTTATGGTTAAGATATAACATTCGAATAATTATATAACCAAAATGGTAAATTACATCGTTCTGCACTAAATTTTACTCCCTCTTATTTTACTCTACTTCAATTTTTTTATTTTGTTCACCAAACTTTACAGATTAAATCATTTTACTCCCCTTGTCGTTATCTCTCTAACGTTGTGATGATGTATATTATTATTTAATATAAAATAATTGAAAATATAAAGGATAAATTATATGGTTTCTCACTGAACTTTATTTTCTCTCATATTTTACTCACCCAACTATAAAATAAAAACAGAAGGTGGTCGGATGTCACCGCTAGCCATCGTCGACTGCCGTAATGGTGGTTGTTCGGTCTCAAATTTTTTGGGTCGCTTCGCCTCGACACCTTAAGTTTTAATCTAACCTCCATTTTTCGAAACTTGCTCCGAAGTCCACGATTGGGATTAAAAGCGAGGAAGCCAAAACGTTTCTGTCGAGATTCATGAATTTTAGGATATTTTCTGATGAAACAACCACCAGATTTGGACTCAGGGGTCGTGATGACCCCGACACATGAATTTTGAGACCGAACAGCCACTGTCAATAATGGTAGACAGTAGTTAAAATGAAAATGATGTGGTTACCGGTGACGACAACCAGTCACCTTATTTACAAAGTAGAGAGAAAATGAGGGGAAAGAAGAGGATTCTAAACGACATCGTATTTCAAAATGAAATCATTTTGATGTTTATGTCATGTCATAACACCGTTAAAAGTATAGTAAGTAAAATAGGAGAGAGAGAAAATTGAGTGAGAACGATGTAATTTGCTAATCATTTCAAAATACTAACACCAAATCTCTTAAATATATAATGAGCAGCAGATTAAGTTGAATATTGAACAATGAAAAAAAGAATAGAAACTGTTCTATCCTCGTGAGCTTCATGAACCAAATCTCCCTTCTAAATTACGCGCCAAAAAAGAGAATTTGATAAGTAATATCTCTTAAATCTACAATGAGTAGCAGATTCGTTCTTTAGCATCAAATTGAACTCTGAAAATAAGAGAGGGGTAGGGATCCAGCACGACGCATACCCAGGGTTTTGGTTAAGTATTTGGCAGATCTCGGTATTTTTCGTCTAATCTGGCCCAACTAGTGCATCGCTCGTAGCTCTTTCCACCAAATAATTCATCATCTTCGCTCACAAAAACAAACAATTAGCCCACTCAATAAAAGATTAGAATGCGATTCCGGTCACCGTCCGGCAAAATCGAGAAATATTCCGGAGACTCCTACGAATCCTCTCTATCAAATAAAAAAAATCAAAATCGGCAGGATATCTCCCCCTTCCGCCCTCCTCGCTTCTCTCACTGTTTATCCATCTGAATGAAAATCAAATTGTTGTTTTTTTCTTCTTATTTTTGGAAGATTAATCTCAAAATAATTATTCCTTTTTTTTAATCTTTTCTCATATCATTTGGGAATGATGCAAGAAATCATAGGACGACTCAACCAAAATCCACCACGTGCTGTTAACCTTTCATACACGTGGCACGTCCAGCTGATAGCGATGGCCTTGACCGCTGCATGTATAAATCGAGCTGTGGTACGCGCGCGACTCTGAAGGTCTAATTCAGGTTTTAGTCTTCTATTATTCTCAAATTTATGATTTATTTCCTCTAATTTATAATGTTAATAATAAATCCAAATTGATAATAGTTTTAGTAGATGAAGTGCACCTTTTTTGAAATGGACTTAAACATTCAACTGTTGTGTAAATTTGTTATAAATTAAATATAATTGAGTGCATCTTCGTACAATCCTAATTATGTAGTAGAGCACATTAAATTATAGGGTAAACTATGTATTTAGTACTTATCAGTTTTAATCCATTTTAATACATAAACTTTTAATTTTTACAAAATCATTTATAACGTTTAGTTTTTGTTTCATTTTAGTACCTCGTCGTTAAAAACTTAACGTGTTTAGTACTTAAACTATCAGTTTTGGTCTATTTTAACACCTAAACTTTCAAAAAATAATATCAAAAATTAACGTTTAATTTTGAATGAGATACTAAAATGAAACAAAAACTAAATTTTATGCATGCTTTTTTTTAAAAAAAATTAGATACTAAAATGAGCAAAAACTGACAATTTAAGTATTAAACGTGTAACTTATCCTAAATTATACTACAAAGGGTGAAGTATGCTAGCTTAGAATATGATAAACAACTTCTAATGTTATCGATTTAGACTTACCAATAACTAGGGTTATTCATGGACAGCTAACCATACCGTTTAGCCTAAACTGTTATAATGGCGTAACCTAACCATTAAGAAATGGTTAACAGCTAATGGTTAACCGTTATTAACGGTTCAGTTACAGGTTAACCTATTACAATTTTTTGTCGTTTTTTTTTCATAATTCATACTATAAAAAATGTAGCACTTAACACATACTTACACCGGTGTAAGTGAATAAAATAAACAAGTGTAACACTTAACACATACTACATCGGTGTAAGTGAATAAAAAAAAGTGTAGCACTTAACACATACTTACACGAGTATAAGCAAATAAAATAAAAAATGTAACACTTAACACATACTTTACACTAGTGTAAATATGTACATCTCTCAATATTTTAGTACCTAACAATAAACATATAATTATATTGGTGTAAGTATGTTTCTATATTTTCAAATAAATAAATAATAATAAATATATATTAAGTTATTTGTATACAAATTTTATTAAATATATATATAAATTATAACTAATAGAAACTTATATCAAGTTACTTGTACAAAAATATAATAAATTAGAAATATAATTATAAATTTAATTTATTAAAATTTAATTGTTTATCAAAAGTTGTAAATGTAACTTTAACTGTTAACTATTATTTTTAGTTGTTCGGTTAAACGAAACTGTTTAGTATTAACAGTTCGATTAATTAATCTGTTAAATATAATGGTTATATTGGTTAACGATTACAGTTAACGATCTCGAGTTTTTTTGAACATCCCTACCAATAACATTATAAAAGTAAAGAAGGTAAAGTACGCTAAATTAGAACAGAGAATAAAATCTCAATTACGTATCATGGAAAGACCTACTACTCTGTTATTTAGAGGACAAGGGTTGTAAATGAGACATTAGTATTTACTAGTAGGGATGACAGTTCGATCGAGTCGAATAAAAAATTTCAAGTTGTTCGAGTTGACGTGTCCTATTTTACAATTCGGAATTGACTAGAAATTTTTTCGAGTCAAATCAGAGTCTAATTGAATTTTTGAGTTTCTGTTTAAATTTAATTATAAATATTTATAATATTATAATATTATTTGATTTCAATATAAATAGTTTTCTTATGATCATGTACAATATATATATATATATAATAATCCATTCATGTGTGCTTTTTGATAATAAAAAAATACAATTCAGGCAGATTTGAATCATTGAGTGCCAGAAACTAGTTGCTAAATGTTGCAGCTTATGTCAAAACGGAACTTACCGTCGCCAATGACTTGTCCATTCCACTGTATCACGGGACGAACGAGGATTTCGCTGCCGATAAGCATCATTTTGGGATTGTATGTTTGGATTTGAATAGAATCATTCAGCTCGTTTATTTCTCACCTCTGAATGATTCAATACTGACTAATTCAGTAAAACAATGCTGAATGATTCAACACAGAAGTCTGAATCATTCAGCATTTGAATCATTCAACGCTTAATCATTCTGAAGTAAACAAACAACCCCTTTGTCTGCGGTTTTCCCTTCATCGACGCTCACATTATCGACACTTATTCAACGGAGCGTACCCTGTCTCACCAGTCCCTCCGCGAGAGTCAGAACTCTCTTAGCCGTGCAGCCACTCAAAATTTTGTTGAATTTGGGCATTAGAAGCTCCTTCCGTAACAAATGCAACATTCATGTTCGGTCCTTCGGCAATGAATCCATCGGTATCCAGCCAAACTGCTGCAAATGCACCTTGTTCTTCGGCTTCCATCTTCGAGAGCACATTCGGAAGGTAATTCACACTCTTCACGGTGGTAAACTGAGGAGGCTTTATGGGGATCGACGAAGTAACTACTTTGATGCCTCTCGAATCGAACGTAGATTTATCTTCGATTACAACTGCATAAAGAGCTGGTTGGTGACAGCCAGAAGATGATAGTTGAAAGTCACCAGGTCCAGCCGAAATCCAGTATCTCAATGATCCATTCATGCACCTGGATGCACTTACAGTTTGTATAAGAATGCTTCTAATAGTCTCGCGACTAATCGGAAGAGCGATTTTCGACATCGTCGCTGACCTTAAGATTCGATCAACATGCTGGTCTAATTCATAGAGGTGTCTGACATGTAGAAAACACATAATAGAGCTTAATTGGAACAATTCATAGTATGATTATTAACACCATACTTAATAATTAGATTCTAAATTAGGGGGAAAAAGAGAAGATCTGTTCTGCTGAAAGATGAACTAACCCATTCATTATTGCAGCAGTGTCAAAGACATCGTGCCCCCTGCGAACCATGTGATCATCCGTAGGGATCACCATGGCTGCTTCATCGGTTACGATTCCACCAAATATGCTAGAGTACATAGCCAGGAACTGCTGCTTCCCTCTGTTGTTCTCTCTGTTCCGTTTTAGCCTCTCAATAGCCTTGAGACAAGTGAAAGATGAAGACATCACAGATGGGAGAAATCATGTAAGAAAAAAGAAAGAAGAAAACAAACCTCTAGACAAGACAATAAAGGAATGTCTGATAGTTTCATTGATTCAGTTTGATTAGAACTTCGAATGATTCTCAAATCTCTTGGTGACCCTTTTTCCATGAGTGAATGATTTCTTGGAAGAAGACATAAATCGTACAATTGATCGGCGTATCTTGACGGAAAATTGGTCGTGTGTTTTGGGTAAGTAGCTGATAGAGAAGCCATGGATGCTTTTGCTGAGTGAGTGAAGAAATGAAAAGCGATGATTCTTTTTGTAGGCTATGGAAATGGTTGACTAAATAGTAGGAGAGGATTGGATTCCATCGCCAAAAGAGTGCGACGGCGAGATCTGAGAAAACTCCGCCGGCCGATGTTGATTGGTAGAGATGACTTTCAGCATTTATAAACTAATATGGTGCCCTGGCCACAACAACCAACCACGATTCATGGACTACCTACAACCATGACGTATTGGCGTGTCCTTTCTGGTAATTCAGTAAAAATCATTTATAAATAATTATATACACTATTTTATAAATAATTACATACACTATTTTAGTAAAAATCATTTATAAATAATTACATACACTATTTTATAATCTAAATATTATGTGATTTGATGCTAAAATCAGTAAATTTTAGGTTATGATTATAAGAGGTAGCTTTGTTGAGAATTTTAACTACTAAAATTTATAAAATAATTTTTGAGTATAGGATGATGTTTTGTTGAGTCTCCAATTGTTAAATGTTATAAAATAGTCGTCTCACTATTCATATGTTTTAGGCTCGTTCTTTTTCGTTAAAATTTTGATGACAGCCTGAGCTAGACATTAACATGCTAATTGGGGTAAGATAAAATCTAATCTCAGAATCTCAAACGTCTATCATATATCAGTCAGTATGTTAACCTCCAACTCAATTGATCATTAATTTTTTAATAAAAAATGAAAAGTTTATAACATATTAATAGTAGAGTGATCATTTTATAACTTTTAATAACCAATGGACTCAACAAAATAATAAGGAGACTCAATAAAGAAACGCCTTGTAATCAAGGGAACACTTGTGTACTTTACCTTAAAATTGATCCCAAGTCGACATTTCAACTATAGATTGAGATGATAATGAATTGGATTGCTTAAATTTTTATCGAGTTAGATTTGAGAGTTAAATTTTTTATATGATATTTGATTGATTTGAATTTAAAAAGTTTTTACCCGATTTAAATTTTAAGATAAAACTTAACAAAAAAATGTATTTTTATTCTATAAAATAAAAATATAGTTAAAAATTATAAAAAGATGACTATGAGATATAATAATTATTTCTAAATATATAAAATCATTTTTGCTACTTCTTGAGTTGAAATCTAATCTGATCCTTGGTTAACTTAATCTAATTTGAGTTTATTTTTCATTAAAAATAATTATATAAAATTAAGGGTAAACTATACCAAATATCATCGAACTTTAGGCGTTGTATCGTTTATACCATTAAACTTTCAATTTTATCAATTATAGTACTGAACTTTGATTTTCGTTTCAATTATACCACTGACCCATTAAATCATTAAGGAAACAATGATGTTGCTGACGGCTGTCAACATGATTGACATAGACACCTCACCAAAACGATATTGTTTTGATCTGACTGTTAACGATTTAACGACCTAATGATATAATTGAAATAAAAATCAAAGTTCAATGCTATAATTTATAAAATTAAAGTTCAGTAGTATTGTTGTAGTTTATCCTAAAGTTAAATGAAATTTTATTCCGTCCTAATCGAATTATATTACCATTCAATTATAAATACGGCAACATAATTTAATTACATAAATTTCTCAAATAGTACTGTTGGGAACCGTACCTTTTAACCGCGGAACAAAATCGCGTCTAAACCCAGATGAAAACGGCGTAAAACTGCCGATTTACAACTGAAAACTACGCCGCACCGCCAACCGCCTCTCCTTCTCCGATTAAAGCACCCGAATTAAACCCTAGATTAACCAACTCCAAGTAGTTTGTTGCCATCCCTTTCGAAAATTAGGTCTATTTCTTTAATTTCGAGGCACGCAATCAGGGTTTGAAAACCCTAGACTTTTACATTTCTCACATTTTGAAGAAATAGTTCAGACCTCCCTAGTTTTGAATCCATACTGTGGTAAAGTTCTCAAATAAAAGCTTCACATGGCGATTATAGGCGACGCGCTGCGCCAAGCGTTCATGCCAAAGCAAGAGTACGAGAGCTTAAGGGAGGAAGACAAAGCTTGGACGAAGCTACAAAGACCGATCTTAATAGGTTTCATAGGGATCATTTGCATTGCGATCTTTGTTTGCACGGTTATAAGCTTGAAGATTGTGTTTCCAGGAGATGTATTGAAGCGACCGTTCTGCGACGACCGGAGATTGCAGCCTTTGCCGTTGAATGCGAAAGGAGGAGGCGTTGGCGATTCAGATCTATATCCCGGAGCATTTTATTTGACTGATCAAGAGACCGTGGATTACTATTGGATGGTTGTGTTTATTCCATCCATGGTCATTTTTTTGGCTTCAGCTGCTTATCTTGTGGCAGGTCAGTCTATATTTGGTTATTTATTCTTTGGTTCCTTTAAGATCTTATTCAGAAATGAAAGGAGGGTACACAAGAATTGCCCATAGCAGAATATAAGCTTTTAGAAAGGTGAAGATTAGCGTTGAATCTTGAATTATAGGCTGTAAAGCTCTCTTATTGTTTGTTATTCAGTAGCAGAACACTGTGACTGGAAAGTGGAAAATATAGTAGATGAGTATCATGGATATGAAACTTAAAGATATATTTTCTTCAGTTTCACATCGTGAAAGACGATATATATGTAATCTAACTTTAACGATAGTGAGGAAATTAAGCTTCTTATTTGACCTGTTCAATGTCATAGGGGGATCTTCCTGGTGTCCTGGTTCTAGTATTCTTCTAATGTTGATTTTTTGAAAAGTACCGAATCTGTCATTGGTGTAAGTTGGTTGCTGGTGGCTTATGGTTGATTTACATAATCTTGGCTATTCGGCTAGCTTCATGAATTTGTAATTGCTTCTATGGCATGCTTCGCATAAATTCTGGGCTACGAGTGTATAGTCTTATTCACTTGTTTGTTATTTAAGGTTAAAACTGATCCGAGAATATTGGAACTTGAATATGGTAGTTTTTCTTGTGCTAATTTTTTGTGAGGGTTGCTTTGATGTTGGGTCTTTGAATTTGCTTGTTCATATGTTTAATCCCTTGTCACTTGTCCTCTTAGTTTATGTATCCTGGCTTGTTGGTCTGCTCTTTAATGGTTTAGTTGTGATTCAGGAATTACCGTTGCTTATTCTGCTCCAACTAGAAATGGATGTTTAAAGGTGGTCGAGAATAATTACTGCACTTCAAAAAGAGGTATGCTCGATTTCTCATTTATTGACTTGAGAATAATTGTTTTCTTACCCCTCATTTAAAGTGGAAAAGTATTAGTTCTGACTTGTCTGGCAAGTTCGACTTGCTGAAAACTGTTCTATTATAAATTTAAATGTGAATGGAATTTGAATTTGTTCTAGCTGCTACTTCAAAAACCAGCATCTTCTTTCTCTTGTTCATTATTCTGAAAGTGTTAATTAAAAATATTGATCCTATTAAGCTATGAACAGCATTAGCTTGAATAGATATACTCATTCATTATCGCGCTGATGTGTAACTACTATTTTGCTTCTTCTTTTTTTCATACATGCATGTGCTAATTTCATATATTAGAAAGGATTTTCAGTTCTGATAATAAGTTTATTGCAATCTGCTGCAGGTGGAGTTCGGTGCTTGTCCATTTTGAATGTGGTCTTTGCTATCATCTTTGGTCTTCTTGCTTTGTTTCTGGGTTCAAGTCTCCTCACGTTAGGAAGCAGCTGCTCTTTGCCCTTGTTTTGGTGCTATGAGATCGCTTCTTGGGGGCTGGTGATTCTATATGGAGGAACTGCATTCTTCCTAAGAAGGAAAGCAGCCGTAGTTCTTGACGAAGTAGAATCCGGTAGTCGAACCCTTGGTTTAGAAATGCTGGAGACTAACCCCTTGGAAGTCACCCCAGATGTCGAAAGGCGTGTTAACGAAGGCTTCAAAACATGGATGGGATCATCCCTTCTATCATCTGATGAAGAAGACGACACCGAGAGTTATCACGAAGTACCTCATATGACACGTACAAGTTCCAACAGGCAGAGAGTGTGACCCTGTACCAAGTCACCGGTGTTACCGAGAATTTTCAATACTTGACTGTCAGTAGGAAGATGGCTCAATACTGAAGCTCGAGCTTAAGAGCCACTCAACCAAATACCAATAGCTCGAAGAGCTTTTATAGTGACAATCGTGATGTCCGGTTGATCGTTCCTTCCGCCCTTTTATGGTAGTGACTTTGAACCCTAGTCAGGAAAGAGCCTTTTTTAACTACACTCGCTTTGTATAGCTTGTTTACTTGCGGACTGGGTCATCATAACTTCAAATTTCAGTGGCAGAAAACCATTCAAAGTTGTTCGCAGGATTGTGTTCTTCATTGTCTTATTTTCTTTGAATGTCACCTGATTCTACTGGGTTCATTACATTCAAGCGGTTGATATCTATGATTTTATGTGCAAAATAGAAACGAGTTTGTGGAGCTTATATTTTTGGTATAATAAATAAGGGGAAAATGTTTGTTGGACTAAATTGAATTTATTTAAAGTTTTAAAAATAATTCAAAATCTAACTAAATTTGTAAGATATGTGTTCAATGTTTCTAAACTTTATCAAAACTTTAAAATGAGTCTTTTAAGTTAAAATTATATTAAAAATATCTTTCAAATACTTTAGAATAATTTTCAAAGTCTTATATTTTTCAAAATGTCAAAAATTATTCTTTTAGACAAGCATTGACCAGATGTTTCGAAACTTCTACCAGAGTTTTGAAACTTTCCAAGATAGAAACCCAAAAAGTTTCGATATTTTCCTATAATTTTGAAACTATCTCAAGAGTTTCGAAACTTTCATTAAAGTTTTGATACTTTGGGTCTAACGGTCAGATATTTCAAACGGCTCTTTCGAATAGTTTCAAAACTTTCCAGTCTCGAAACTTTGTGTGCAGAAAGTCTTCCAACTGCTCCGAACCTTCCCAAACGGCTAGTAACTCATTCCAACATATAAAAACAAGTTCAAGACACTTGAAGAATGTATCGAACACCTATCCAAACAATCAAACACAAGAGAAGAGTTCTTCAATCTTATTTATTCTTTCACTTGTAAATATTAGCGTTTTAGTGAGCTTAAACTTTGTAAACACTTACCTTGTAATGATTTTCTTGTTTACATCTCTTATCCTTTGTAAAGGGTTTTGTTTAGTTTAGCCAAGTGAAAAACTAGGGAGTTATAAAGGTTACTCTTGATCATTGAAAAAGAAAAAACAAATTAGTAGATTTATTGAAAAATCCTAAGTGAGGAGCTTAGGTAGTGGATGTAGACTTGGTTGATAAGTCGAACAACAATAAATCATTGTGCAAATTTTCTTATCCTTATTCTCCTTACTCCCTAAATTTCAAAAAGTCAATTCACCCCTCTTGACTCATTTTCGGTTGATCGAACGAGCTTCATCAAGCCCAACAAAGTTTATCATTGAGGGCTATTTGTTGGAGGGTTTTGATTCGGGTTTAGATTTAAGATAAAAAATATTTTATTCAAAATATATAGAGACAATTGTAATTCTACTCAGTTTTTCTATTTTTTCAATTAGATTTTTATTTTACCAAATAAAAATTATATGTGTTGGTTTGGGTTTGTTTGGACGTAAGTTTTTATTTTTAAAAACAAGTAATATTTGATGGAGCCTTTCTAAATTCAGATAGGTGACAAGTGAAGATATAATACTCAAGTTTGATCAATAAAAAATTTGATCCACTTTGATTCATGATTATCTCTAAGAATGATACTTGTCTTTTAGGTATAAGTATTAATAATTTGAATAAAGTATATAAATGGTCCTCTGTAGAGAGATGCCTTCTTATCCTTCTCTTCCTAAACCATGGTAATGGAGGTGAGAGAGAACATGGTAATGGAAGAATCTATATGTGCACTTGATACAATCATTTTTATCAGTTTAATTAATTAGATCCGTTCTCTTTTCGACAATAAATGGAAGAATTATGGAAAGAAGAGAAGAGATGGCATACATGTATGAATATGAGCTACAAACATAGGAGACTTTTAGTCAAAAAAATGATAATGGAAAAGGCACTATCTGAAACCTTTCGAAAGATAGGAAGAGGGGCTCGAAAAACTCACGGCTGTTGTTGTTGAGTTCGCATATTCAGATTCCTTTCTTGGTGTTCCACATTCGCTGAAGTCGAGGATGCGGCGCTCTGCCTGTGACGAATCACATACTAATTTCAATAAATTGCTCGTATTAACAAAGGAGGGGATATTAGGCATGACTTTTGTTTTCAGTAATACCAAGATATTGGAAGCCAAATGTGAATGGTTCTCAGGCCGGTTATTCTCTTTGTCCACATTACGATTCTTGGAGCATCTTCCCTTTGCAATTGATTCCGGAGTTACGTTTCCCAAAACCTCCAAGGCATCGGAGTATGCAGCAGCGGTATGTTCGCGTAGTTGTTTCATCAAACCGATGGCGTCATAGCTTCTTTCTGCAGGGCTGATAATGTATCCTATGTCCTGGAAAGAAAATTTGATCATTAGGAAACATAAAGAAAGGTTAAATTCTGAATCTATATTAAGGCTGAAGTAGTTATATACCTCAATTGTTACTTCTGTGTCAATCCTTGGGCCTGGAATGAAAGAGTTAATAAACCAAGGAGACTTCCATGCTGACGGTGATTCGATACTTCTTTTGAATGGAGTTCCAGCGAATCCGGCAATCCACATCAAACAAACAACGCATAAGAACCAATCGATTTATCATAGCATTTGAAGTAGAAACAAAAGAAAAACAATTCTTGACATAAAGGACACTGAATGGTAGGCACTATAACAATTGTAATTACAACAGGGAGCAGCGGAAGCTCACATGTTATAATTTTCAGTGGCAGCATCAATCCCAGCATTATCGGCCAAATTCTCAAGGGTTGCTGAGGAATTGGTACACTGTACTACAGTAACAGTTATTGAGTGGCTTTCACTGTTCTTTACTTCCAGAGTAGGAGAGCTAACAATCAAGCATGCATTTCCTGATAAACATCAGAAGCAAGGCCTTGATTTGATGAAACAGCTCTAAAGCTTTTATAAAACTGATTTCGTGGAGTTTGCATGCATGAAGACAATAATGGTCTGTCTGCTTTAAGACCAACATGATCGGGAGAAAACAATAGGAGATCATTTACATCATGCTCACTAAGCACTGCTGAAGGCTGTTGGACCTATAAAAAATAGAGGGAATATATTAGTATGATAAACCAAATAAGCATTGGAAGTAAAGAAGAATGCTACAGTAATAACGATAGAATAATTAAGACCAGGACTTCCAACACAAGACCAAAGTGAAAACAGTGTACATTGTACATAGAGTTATCAGCATCATACATGACTTGAATAAAAGTTTGACATGGATTTAATGGAAGCTTCACCTTGAGCTAGAAAGCATCAAAATAACAGAGGAAAGAAACTCACAATTTTGTTGGAAGCATGAGCATCAGTTTTGTCCTTTGTATCAATACCACAGGCTTCAGTTTTTAAGCTTCCCTGGAAGTCAGTTCCATCAGAATCTGTCTTTTGAGCTTCATCATCTAATGACTCAGGGTGATTTTCACCTTTGCCTAGTTCCCACGAGATTCTTGACACAGGTTTTCTTTTTCTTCAACAGAGGCTCTAGCATTGCTTTTATATTCAGATGGAGACATCTGACATGTGTTGCGATGACCCTGTTTCTCACTTCTTCGTTCTGATAAAGGTGATAATAGGTCGTGATGACGCTTCTTCAGTATGGATGGTGTGCAAGTAAAAGTTTTGGCAGCACTTTTAAGCACAACATCTGGACTGCCGTCCCGAGATGGTGAATCCCACAACCTAAATGGAGAGATGCAGTCCATAGAAGACATCATCAGCTGGCGAATACCAAGGGGACTATATTCTAGCTGCACATCGTCGCCAGATGGTCTAAGATCACAGCTGAAAAATGGGATATCCATGCCTGGAAAGCGAGGAGGCTCGTAGCATAGACCTCCAGTATCTTGTTCTGCAGGCAAATTTGGCTTTTCATCAACAGCAGGGCAAGTTAGCAAATCATTTGATTCTGAACCAAAACTATTAACTGCAACCAACTTCTGAGAATCCTTTGCAAGGTAAGCTTGCTCTTGTAGGTCTGTATCATCTGTATGATCATCATTAGTAAAGATGAAGCCATCATGTTCATTCATAGTAAATTCTTGTTCTTGACTTCCAGAAGGTTGAACATTTAATTGACTGGCCTCTCGGCCATACATAAGCGCATCATCCTCCACTGAAAGAAGTGAAGGAGAAGCAAAAGACTGACAGCATGAGGTTGCCAATACTCAGACCTTGAAGGAAGAGCGGATTGTGAGGCTGGAGTATATCCAGTTTCAGATGTTGGATGACTGAAGGCGGACAAAGTGATGTACTTGCGCACCACCCAATTCCGCCATATTAGACTCTTGTGTAAAATTTTCAGAGGCAACGCATCCATCATTCACTGCCTCTGAGAATAGGACCCTACAACATTCATTATCAGTTATCAACATATGCTCGCCTAACTGGTAATTCCCACTGGAAGAGTACCCAGCTTCACAAGGTATTTCTGGAATGGAGAAGTTGACATCTTCAAAAGATGGGTGATACTCATCCGCACAAGGTGCTGGGCTGGAATACCTCTCATTTGTCACAGCAGGCATTTCAGTCAAGTGGAATTGCTCTCTTGCATGTACAGCAGAATTAGCTAAATCACTTTTAGATTGAGAGCAAACCATCACATTTGATTCTTGACTGCATTCTGATATGTCCTCACCTTCTTTCCTACATTTGGCACCACTATCATCTGTATTGCTCTGCATCCTCATAGAAGACGAAGGCATAGGTTGACTTTGATTTGCAAGAAGTGGGAACTGACATTGTTCCAGAAGGCCTGACGCTATGTAAGAGTCCAACTTCTTTTTGACAGAACTGTTCCAGTGATTTTTTATGGCATTGTCTGTCCTGTTACCCATACATATATGGGGATAAAGAAAGTTATTGGTAAGTTCAAATGCAAAAAAAAAATATTAACTTCTAATCAACACAGCAATCAGGTTTCGATGAGCATCAGAGGAAGACTTGGAGTTGGGGAGAAGTAGTAAGAAGAATAAAAGACAAATATATGTAAACCTGTTAAAACATTGATGGAAAGTTATGACCTCTAAATAATATGTACCTTCCTGGCAAGAATTTTGTAAGCTCTGCCCATTTGTTCCCAAAAATCTGATGAGCACGAATAAGAGCCAACTCCTCTTCCTGTGTCCACGCCTCTTTGTTTATGCCAGGATTAAGATGATTGTGCCACCT